TGGTGGCCATGGAAGGTTGGCTGTGGGGTAGTGATGGTCATTGTGGGGTGCTGGTAGCCATAGAGTCATGGTGGTGGCCAAAGGGATGGTGGTGGCCATGGAGTCATGATGGTGGCCAAACGAATGGTGGTGGCCATGGAAGGTTGGCTGTGGGGTGGCAATGGTCATAGGGTGATGGTGGTGGCCAAGGGGATGGTGGTGGCCATAGAGTCATGGTGGTGGCCAAAGGGATGGTGGTGGTCATGGGGAAGGTTGTCCATGGGGTGGTGGCCATTGTGGGGTGGTGGTGGCCATAGAGTCATGGTGGTGGCCAAGGGGATGGTGGTGGTCATGGAAGTTTGGCTGTGGGGTTGCAATGGTCATAGGGTGATGGTGGTGGCCAAGGGGATGGTGGTGGTCATGGAATGTTGGCCGTAGAGTGATGGTCATAAGAGGCCACAGGGATGGTGGTGGCCATGGAAGGTTGGCCATAGGGTGGTGATGGTCATAAGTGGCCAAGAGGATGGTGGTGGCCATGGGGAAGGTTGGCCATGGGGTGGTGGCCGTAGTGGGGTGGTGGTGGCCATTGTGGGGTAGTGGTGGTGGCCATAGAGTCATGGTGGTGGCTAAGGGGATTGTGGTAGCCATGGAAGGTTGGCCGTGGGGTGGTGATGGTCGTAGGGTGGTGATGGACAAGGGGACGCTGGTGACCATGGGGAAGGTTGACCATAGGATCTGGTTGGGATCAAGGGCACAGTGGTGACCAAGGGCATTGTGGTGGCCAAAGGGATGGTCATGGTCATGGAAGGTTGGGTCTAGGGTAGTGGCCATTGTGGGGTGGTGGTGGCCAAGCAGATGGTGGCAACCACAGAAGGTTGGCCATAGGGTGTTGAGCATAGGGAGGTGGAGGTGGCCAAGAGGATGGTGGCGGCCATGGCGAAGGATGGCCATAGGGTGGTGGTCGTAGGAGCATGGTGGTGGCCCAAGGGGATGATGGTGGCCATGGGCAGACTTGGCTATGGGCTGGTGGTCATAGAGAGCTGAAGGTGGCCATGGAACAGTGGTGGCCATGGGGCAGGTTGCCCATTGACCACCGCGTTCACCCTCGGCAGGACGAGGATGGGAACACGCTGTCGGACGAGGACATCGCAGCCGAGGCCAACACCTTCATGTTTGCAGGTGAGGCCAAAGCCACCACCGGGCACCATGACGAGGAGGTGCCCCCCTTGTGCCCCCAAGCTCACCCCTTGGCCTTACAGGCCACGACACCACAGCCAGCGCCTTGGCTTGGTTGCTCTACAACCTGGCCAGCCACCAGGAGCACCAGGACCGGTGCCGCCAGGAGGTCCAGGAGCTCCTCAAGGGTCGGGATGTGGAAGACATCGAATGGTGAGCGGTCCCCATTGGCACCCCTTGGCCACTGTTGAGGACACCGGGTGCCACCATCCCTTGCCCCTAGGGAGGACCTGTCCCGCCTGCCCTTCACCACCATGTGCATCAAGGAGAGCCTCCGCCGGCATCCCCCGGTGACCGCCGTGTCCCGCTGCTGCACCCAGGACCTGGCTACGCGCGATGGAAGGGTCATCCCCAAGGGTACGGCGGCTCCCCCAACCTGGCCCCCGGTGCCACCTCCTTGTCCCCTTGTCCCTAAGGTGGCCGTTGCTGTCCCACCAGGGGTCGTCTGCTTGATGAGCATCTATGGGACCCATCACAACCCCGACATGTGGCCCGATCCTCAGGTAGAACCCTTCGGGGTTGGGGACATGGCCATGGGGCGGCGAGACGGCCCCGTCACCACGGCTAGGGGACAACCATGTCCCCGTGGTGTCACTCCAGGTCTACAACCCATTGAGGTTCAGCCCGGAGAACAGCCAGGGACGGCCCCCATTGGCCTTCATCCCCTTCTCTGCCGGACCCAGGTAAGCCATGGTGGGGACACCAATGTCCCCGTTGCATGGAGGGGCGATGGACCCAAGTCTGGGTGTCCTGGGAGCGTCTCCATCCCCATGGGGAGGCTCCACTGCCCCGGATGGTGGCTGCTGGCACCCCTGGGGGTGACAGAAGGGGCCGCGGTGGCAGGAACTGCATCGGGCAGAGCTTCGCCATGGCCGAGATGAAGGTGGTGGCGGCCCTCACCGTGGCTCGGTTCCGCATCCGCCTGGACACGGCGCGGCCGCCACGGCGCAAGCCCGAGCTCATCCTGCGTGCCGAGGACGGGATCTGGCTGCTGCTGGAGCCGCTGCCCAAGGGGGGCTGAGGGACACCATGGGGACGCCGTGGGGACACCAGTGGGACATCGTGGGGACACCAATGGGGACACGATGGGGACGCCATGGGGACATGATGGGGATGCCATGGGGACACCAATGGGCCATCATAGGGACGCCATGGGGATGACATGGGGACGCCAATGTGACATCATGGGGACACCATGGGGACGCCATGGGGACACCAGTGGGACATCGTGGGGATGCCATGGGGACACGATGGGGACGCCATGGGGACATGATGGGGGTGCCATGGGGACACCAATGGGCCATCATAGGGACGCCATGGGGATGACATGGGGACACCAATGTGACATCATGGGGACACCATGGGGACGCCATGGGGACACCAGTGGGACATCGTGGGGATGCCATGGGGACACGATGGGGACGCCATGGGGACATGATGGGGATGCCATGGGGACACCAATAGGCCATCATAGGGACGCCATGGGGATGACATGGGGACGCCAATGTGACATCATGGGGACACCATGGGGACGCCATGGGGACACCAGTGGGACATCGTGGGGATGCCATGGGGACGTCATGGGGACACCAATGTGACATCATGGGGACACCATGGGGACGCCATGGGGACACCAGTGGGACATCATGGAGTAGCCATGGGGACACCATGGAGACACCATGGGGACACCAATGGGACATCATGGAGTAGCCATGGGGACACCATGGAGACACCATGGGGACACCAATGGGACATCATGGGGACTCCATGGGGACACCATGGGGACACCAATGGGACATCATGGGGACATCAATGGGACATCATGGGGACGCCATGGGGATGCCATGGGGACACCATGGAGAAGCCATGGGGACACCAATGGGACATCATGGGGACACCATGGAGACACCATGGGGACACTGTGGAGAAGCCATGGGGACACCATAGGGACACCATGGGGACCACCATGGAGAAGCCATGGGGATGCCATGGGGATGCCGTGGGGACATTGGGACACCTCAAGGAGGAGAGGAGAATAAAGGTCCCATGGAGGGGATGATGCTGTGATGTGTGATGGGGATGGGTGGTGGGGATGTGCCCTCCTCCATCATGTGTGGGGCATGGCATGGACATGTCCCACCATGCTATAGGTGCTGTACATGGACGTGTCCCACCACGCTATAGGTGCTCTACATGGATGTGTCCCACCATGCTATAGGTGCTGTACATGTCCCACCATGCCATAGGTGCTGTCCATGGGCATGTCCCACCATGCTATAGGTGCTGTCCATGGACACGTCCCACCATGTCATGTGTGACCATCCATGTACATGTCACCCCATGATGCATGTCACCATCCATGGACGTGTCCCCCCACAAAACATGTCACTGTCGTGACAGGGATGTGTCCCACCGTGCCACGTGTGAGCTTTCATGGACGTGTCACTTCATGCCACATGTCAGCATCCATGTTAATGTATCCATGTCACGGTACATGTATGTGTTCACATGTGTCACATGTCACTGTACATGTATGTGTCCCCACATGTCCCATGTCACTGTACATGTATGTGTCGCCACGTCTCATATCACTGTACATGTATGTGTTCGCATGTGTCGCATGTCACCGTTCATGAGTATGTCCCCACATGTCACATGTCACTTTACATGTATGTGTCCCACATTTCTCATGTCTTTGTACATGTATGTGTCCCCACATGTCCCATGTCACTGTACATGTATGTGTCCCCACATGTCCCATGTCACTGTACATGTATGTGTCCCCACATGTCCCATGTTACTGTACATGTATGTGTCCCCACATGTCCCATGTCATTGTACATGTATGTGTCCCCACATGTCCCATGTCACTGTACATGTACGTGTCGCCACGTCTCATATCACTGTACATGTATGTGTTCCCACATGATGTATGTCACTGTACATGTGTCCCACATGTCCCATGTCATTTGACATGTATGTGCCCCCTTGTCCCACGTCACTGTACATGTGTCCCTCATGTCCCACGTCACTGTACATGTGTCCCACATATACCATGTCACTGTACATGTGTCCCACACGTCCCACATTACCCTACATGCATGTGGCTCCTTGTCCCACGTCACTGTACATGTGTCCCTCATGTCCCACGTCACTGTACATGTATGTGCCCCCTTGTCCCACGTCACTGTACATGTGTCCCACATGTCCCACATGTCCCACGTCACTGTACATGTGTCCCCACATGTCCCATGTCACTGTACATGTATGTGTTCCCGCATTATATATGTCACTGTACATATGTGTCCCACATGTCCCATGTCATTCGACATGTATGTGCCCCCTTGTGCCACGTCACCCTACATGTGTCCCACATGTCCCATGTCACTGTACATGTGTCCCCACGTCCCATGTCATTGTACATGTATGTGCCCCCTTGTCCCACATCCCTCTACATGTATGTGCCCCCTTGTCCCACATCCCTCTACATGTGTCCCACATGTCCCATGTCACTGTACATGTTTCCCACATGTCCCACGTTACCCTACATGTATGTGCCCCCTTGTCCCACGTCACTGTACATGTGTCCCTCATGTCCCACGTCACTGTACATGTGTCCCACATGTCCCATGTCACTGTACATGTGTCTCATATATCCCACGTCACCCTACATGTATGTTCCCACCCCCCCATCACCACCCTAGCACAGGCCCGCCACCATGTGGGCGTGGCCTCGCACGCCCAGTGGGGCGTGACCACAGCGGCTGACCAATCACATGCCCGGTGGGCGTGGCTACGACCAAAGGGGCGGGTGCTCGGAGCCGCGGTCACGTGAGGCGGGCGGCTGAAGCCGCGCTGCGGCGGTGTCATGGCGGCGCCGTCAGGTGAGCGGGGACCGGGGCCTGAGGCGGCGGCCGGGGGGGGGGGGGTGAAACCGGGCCCCGGCCCCTCACCGGCCGTGTCCCCACAGAGACCGAGCGGCTGCTGGGCCGCGGGCCCGCCTACGGGAGCACGGAGCCGCCGGCGGTGGCGGAGGAGGAGGAGCTGCGCCGCCGCCTCAAGTATTTCTTCATGAGCCCCTGCGATAAGTACCGGGCCCGCGGGCGGCGGCCCGTGAAGCTGGGCCTGCAGCTGGCCAAGATCCTGCTCGTCACCGTCCAGGTGCGGCGGGGAACGGGGACGGCGGGGAGGGGGCGCTGGGACGTGGGGGTATTGGGGAGGGGGGCAGTGGGACGTGGGGACACTGGGGAGGGGGCACTGGGGAAGGGAGCACTGGGACATGGGGACACTGGGGAGGGGGCACTGGGACAGGGGGGCATTGGGGAGGGGAGCACTGGGACATGGGGACACTGGGGAGAGAGTCACCGGGGAGGGGGCACTGGGGCCACTGGGACATGGGGACACCGAGGAGGGGGGCACTGGGACCTGGGGACACTGGGGAGGGGGGCACTGGGACATAGGGGTACTGCGGAGGGGGACACTGGGGAGGGGGGCACTGGGGGCACTGGAACGTGGGAGTAGTGTGGAGGGGGGCATTGGGACCTGGGGACACTGGGGAGGGGGCACTGGGACATGAGAGTACTGCGGAGGGGGGCACTGGGACATGGGGACACTGGGGAGGGGGCACTGGGACATGGGGACACTGGGGAGGGAGGCACTGGGGCATGGGGACACCGGGGAGGGGAGCACTGGGGGCACTGGGACATGGGGACACCGGGGAGGGGAGCACTGGGACCTGGGGACACTGGGGAGGGGGGCACTGGGGGCACTGGAACATGAGGACACCGGGGAGGGGGGCACTGGGGGTATTGGGACATGGGGACACTGGAGGGCACTGGAGGCATTGGGGGTAGTGGGGAGAGAGGTATTGGGACATGGGGACACTGGGGAGGGGGCACTGGGGGCACTGGGACATGGGGGGAGGGGGGAGGGGGGGTATTGGGACATGGGGACACTGGGGAGGGTGACAATGGGACAGGGGGGCATTGGGGAGGGTGGCCCTGGGGGGATTTGGACATGGGGACACTTGGGAGGAGGGCACTGGGACATGGGGAGGGTGACACTGGGGGCACTGGGACATGGGGACACTGGGGAGGGTGGCCCTGGGGACCCTGGGATGTGCGGTCACTGGGGAGGTGCTGCTGCTCCTCCATTCCTGGGTGATGATGTCACGTTGGGAGCCTCTTTGGGCTGAAACCGCTGCATTTTGGGGCCCAGTGCCCCCCACCCCGTGCCCAGGGCAGGGCTTGAATCCCAAGGGGGGGGCTTTGTCCCGCAGCTCATCCTGTTTGGACTCAGCAACCAGATGGTGGTGACCTTCAAGGAGGAGAACACCATCGCCTTCAAGCACCTCTTCCTGAAGGACTACGTGGATGGGGCTGAGGACTCCTACGCCGTCTACACCCAGCAGGACCTCTACGAGCGCATGTTCTATGCTGTGGAGAAGGTGAGAGCCGCCCTCTGGGGACACCAAGGGGTGCTTTGGGACACCCAAGGGATGCTTTGGGGACATCAAGGGGTGCTTTGGGGACGCCAGGAGGTGCTTTGGGACATCAGGAGGTGCTCTGGGACACCAAGAGGTGCTTTGGGGTCACCAAGGGGTGCTTTAGGGATACCAAGGGGTGCTTTGGGGACACCACGCGGTGCTTTGGGGACACCAAGAGGTGCTTTGGGGGCACCAAGGGGTGCTTTGGGACCTTAAGAGGTGCTTTTTGGACACCAAGAGGTGCTCTGGGGACACCAAGAGGTGCTTTGGGGACATCAGGAGGTGCTTTGGGACACCCAAGAGGTGCTTTGGGGACATCAAGGGGTGCTTTGGGGACGCCAGGAGGTGCTTTGGGACATCAGGAGGTGCTCTGGGACACCAAGAGGTGCTTTGGGGTCACCAAGGGGTGCTTTGGGGACACCACGAGGTGCTTTGGGGACGCCAAGGGGTGCTTTGGGGGCACCAAGGGGTGCTTTGGGGACACCAAGAGGTGCTTTGGGGACATCAGGAGGTGCTTTGGGACATCAGGAGGTGCTTTGGGACACCAAGGGGTGCTTTGGGGACATCAAGGGGTGCTTTGGGGACGCCAGGAGGTGCTCTGGGACACCAAGAGGTGCTTTGGGGTCACCAAGGGGTGCTTTGGGGACACCAAGAGGTGCTTTGGGGACACCAAGAGGTGCTTTGGGGACACCAAGAGGTGCTTTGGGGGCACCAAGGGGTGCTTTGGGACCCTAAGAGATGCTTTTTGGACACCAAGAGGTGCTCTGGGGACACCAAGAGGTGCTTTGGGGACATCAGGAGGTGCTTTGGGACACCCAAGAGGTGCTTTGGGGACATCAAGGGGTGCTTTGGGGACGCCAGGAGGTGCTTTGGGACATCAGGAGGTGCTCTGGGACACCAAGAGGTGCTTTGGGGTCACCAAGGGGTGCTTTGGGGACACCACGAGGTGCTTTGGGGACGCCAAGGGGTGCTTTGGGGGCACCAAGGGGTGCTTTGGGGACACCAAGAGGTGCTTTGGGGACATCAGGAGGTGCTTTGGGACATCAGGAGGTGCTTTGGGACACCAAGGGGTGCTTTGGGGACATCAAGGGGTGCTTTGGGGACGCCAGGAGGTGCTCTGGGACACCAAGAGGTGCTTTGGGGTCACCAAGGGGTGCTTTGGGGACACCACGAGGTGCTTTGGGGACACCAAGAGGTGCTTTGGGGACACCAAGAGGTGCTTTGGGGGCACCAAGGGGTGCTTTGGGACCCTAAGAGATGCTTTTTGGACACCAAGAGGTGCTCTGGGGACACCAAGAGGTGCTTTGGGGACATCAGGAGGTGCTTTGGGACACCCAAGAGGTGCTTTCGGGACATCAAGGGGTGCTTTGGGGACACCAGGAGGTACTTTGGGACACCAGGAGGTGCTCTGGGACACCAGGAGGTGCTTTGGGGGCACCAAGAGGTGCTTTGGGGACATCAGGAGGTGTTTTGGGACATTAAGAGGTGCTTTGGGACACCAAGAGGTGCTTTGGGGGCACCAAGGGGTGCTTTGCGACCTTAAGTGGTGCTTTTCGGACACCAAGAGGTGCTCTGGGGACACCAAGAGGTGCTTTGGGGACATCAGGAGGTGCTTTGGGACACCCAAGAGGTGCTTTGGGGACATCAAGGGGTGCTCTGGGGACACCAGGAGGTGCTCTGGGGACACCAAGAGGTGCTCTGGGGACACCAAGAGGTGCTTTGGGGGCACCAAGGGGTGCTTTGGGACCTTAAGAGGTGCTTTTCGGACACCAAGAGGTGCTCTGGGGACACCAAGAGGTGCTTTGGGGACATCAGGAGGTGCTTTGGGACACCCAAGAGGTGCTTTGGGGACACCAAGAGGTGCTTTGGGACATCAGGAGGTGCTTTGGGATGCCAAGGGATGCTTTGGGATGCCAAGGGATGCTTTAGGGATGCCAAGGGGTGCTTTGGGGACCCCACGGGGTGCTTTGGGGACCCCACGGGGTGCTTTGGGGACCCCACGAGGTGCTTTGGGGACACCAAGGGGTCCTTTGGAGACACCAAGAGGTGATTTGGGGACACCAAGAGGTGCTTTGGGACATCAGGAGGTGCTTTGGGACACCAAGGGGTGCTTTAGGGACGCCAAGGGGTGCTTTGGGACATCAAGAGGTGCTTTGGGGACTCCATGAGGTGCTTTGGAGACTCCATGAGGTGCTTTGGAGACTCCATGAGGTGCTTTGGGACTCCATGAGGTGCTTTGGGGACACCACGAGGTGCTTTGGGACACCCAAGGGATGCTTTGGGGACATCAAGAGGTGCTTTGGGGACACCACGAGGTGCTTTGGGGACACCAAGGGGTGCTTTAGGGACACCAAGGGATGCTTTGGGGACACCATGAGGTGCTTTGGGGGCATCAAGGGGTGCTTTGGGACATCAGGAGGTGCTTTGGGGACACCAAGGGGTGCTTTGGGGACACCAAGGGGTGCTTTGGGGACACCAAGAGGTGCTTTGGGACATCAGGAGCTGCTTTGGGGACACCAAGGGGTGCTTTGGGGACCCCAAGGGGTGCTTTGGGGACACTGAGGTGGCTGTGGACCACATCCAGCTCCTCCTGGCATCTCCTTCTCCCAGTACTTGGCCATTCCCAACGCGACCATCGGGCGCTATGCCTACGTGCATGGGGGCAACCACTCGGCCCTTCTCTTGTGCCAGCAGTACTACAAGAAGGGCCGCATCGACCCAGCCAATGACACCTTCAACATCGACCCCAAGATTATCACAGGTGGCTTTTTGGGGAGGGGGGGATGTTAAAGGTGGAATTGCTCATCCCAAATGTCTTGGGTTGGGATTTGGGACTTGAGAAGGTCCCCAAAGGGGATACAGGGGGGGGTTGGGCTTCACTGAAGGTGCTTCTCCTCCATGTAGACTGCTTGGGAGTGGACCCTGAGGACCCCCAGCCTCTTTCTCGCAGCTACAAGAACTTCACCCTCAAGTTCCACAAGTAAATGAGCACCTTTGGGTGCTGGGGACACCCCCAAGCTGGGATCCCAATGTGGGGGGATCTCCTGTTGAAGCCCCGTTGGTTTCCAACCCACTTGTGGGATGTGCAACCACTGCTCCTCTAAAGCTGGAGCCACCTTGGTTGGGGCACCCAAAGGAAGGGGTTGGCCCCTCTCGGGTGGTGTTTGGCTCTTGGCACCGTGGTTTGGGAGGGTGCTTTGACTCTTGGCATCATCTCTTAGGGGTTTTGGGGTGTCCAAGTGAGCCCCATTGTCCCCTCCACAGGCTCATCAATGTCACCATCCAGTTTAAGCTGAAAGCCATCAACATCCAAACCATCATCAACAACGAGATCCCCGACTGCTACACCTTCACCATCACTGTGAGTGGTGGCACCGGGGGGGGGACGACACATCCTCTATGGGGACACAGGGACCCGTCCTGCCCCCAGTCCCGTCCGGCCCCCATTCCCGTCCCTTCCCCAATCCCATCCCAGCCCCATTCCCATCCCGCCCCCAATCCCATCCCACCGCGATTCTCATCCTTCCCCCATTCCCATCCAGTCCCCATTCCCATCCTGCTCCCATTCCCATCCCGCCTCCATTCCCATCCCAGCCCCAATCCCATCCGGCCCCCAATCCCATCCGGCCCCCAGTCCCATCCGGCCCCCAATCCCATCCCTCCCCCAATCCCATCCCTCCCCCAATCCCATCCCTCCCCCATTCCCATCCGGCCCCCATTCCCATCCTGCTCCCATTCCCATCCCGCCTCCATTCCCATCCCAGCCCCAATCCCATCCGGCCCCCAATCCCATCCGGCCCCCAGTCCCATCCGGCCCCCAATCCCATCCCTCCCCCAATCCCATCCCTCCCCCAATCCCATCCCTCCCCCATTCCCATCCGGCCCCCATTCCCATCCGGCCCCCATTCCCATCCCTCCCCCAATCCCATCCCTCCCCCAATCCCATCCCTCCCCCAATCCCATCCCTCCCCCATTCCCATCCGGCCCCCATTCCCATCCGGCCCCCATTCCCATCCGGCCCCCATTCCCATCCGGCCCCCAATCCCATCCCAGCCCCATTCCCATCCCACCCCCATTCCCATGGCTTTCCTGGCCTGTCCCCACTCCCCCTTTGTCCCCAGATCACCTTTGACAACAAGGCCCACAGTGGCCGGGTGAAAATCCGCTTGGACAACCGGGCTGACATCAAGGAATGCAAAGATCCCAGCGTCTTCGGCCGAGGTGGGAGCCACAGCGCTGCCATCTACCCCCCCCCCCCCCCCCCCCCCCCCTTTTTTGGGTGCCAGAAGGGTGCTGCTGGGTGCTGAGTTGAGCCACGGTGCCTCTTGTAGGTGACAACTCCTTCAGGCTCTTCTTCGATGTCGTCGTCATCCTCGTCTGCTCCTTGTCCTTCATCCTGTGCGCTCGCTCCATCATCCGGGGCCTGCTGCTCCAGCACGTGAGTGCAGGGATGCTGCACCCCACCTTTGTGTGGGGATGGATGGAGTTGGGGGGGCTGGAGGAGGCCCTTTTTCCCCTGGGAAAAGGCTGTGTGGGATGGGTGAAGGTTTCTCCTCGCCGTGCAGGAGTTCAGCCGGTTCTTCCAGCGCCGGTACAACCAGAGCGTGTGCCTCTCGGACCGCATGGAGTTCCTCAATGGTTGGTACATCCTCCTGGTCATCAGTGATGTCCTCACCATCATGGGCACCATCATGAAGATAGGCATCGAGTCCAAGGTACCCGAGGTCCTGGGTGCACTGGGGCTGCTGCCACTGGTGTCCCCATGCACCCAGGATGGGACATTTCCATGGGGCAGGAGGCAGTGGCCACCCATGGGTGCTGAGTGCAGTGGGTGAAGCTCTTGTGGGTGGCTTTATGGTGGGTTGTGGGGCAAGCATCACTCCTGATGGGTGCTGGTCCAAGTGGGACCCCGTTGGAAACAAAAGGCAGGAGGCAATGGCCACCCATGGGTGCTGGCAGTGCAGTGGGTGAAGCTCTTGTGGGTGGGTTTATGGTGGGTTGGGGGACGAGCATCACTCCCGATGGGTGCTGCTCCAGTAGGACCCCATTGGCACCAAAAGGCAGGAGGCAATGGCCACCCATGGGTGCTGGCAGTGCAGGGGGTGAAGCTCTTGTGGATGGCTTTATGGTGGGACTGGGGACAAACATCACTCCTGTTGGGTGCTGCTCCAGTAGGACCCCATTGGCACCAAAAGGCAGGAGGCAATGGCCACCCATGGGTGCTGAGTGTAGGGGGTGAAGCTCTTGTGGGTGGCTTTATGGTGGGGCTGGGGGACAAGCATGACTCCTGATGGGTGCTGGGCCAATAGGACCCCATTGGCACCAAAAGGCAGGAGGCAATGGCCACCCATGGGTGCTGGCAGTGCATTGGGTGAAGCTCTTGTGGGTGGGTTTATGGTGGGGTTGGGGGACAAGCATCACTCCTGATGGGTGCTGCTCCAGTAGGACCCCGTTGGAAACAAAAGGCAGGAGGCAATGGCCACCCATGGGTGCTGAGTGAAGTGGGTGAAGCTCTTGTGGGTGGCTTTATGGTGGAGCTGGGGGACAAGCACGACTCCTGATGGGTGCTGGGCCAACAGGACCCCATTGGGTCCAAAAGGCAGGAGGCAATGGCCACCCATGGGTGCTGGCAGTGCATTGGGTGAAGCTCTTGTGGGTGGGTTTATGGTGGGGTTGGGGACAGGCATCACTCCTGATGGGTGCTGCTCCAAATAGGACCCCATTGGCAGCCGAAGGTCCCATCCTGCTGCTGCCTGGTGGCTCCTGGCCCCTTGGGGACCGCATGGGGACAACCTCAGAGCCTGGGGTCCCATCCTGCTGCTGCCTGGTGGCTCCTGGCCCCTTGGGGACAACCTCAGAGCCTGGGACCCCTCTGTCCCTGCAGAACTTCGCCGGCTACGACGTCTGCAGCATCCTGCTGGGCACCTCCACGCTGCTCGTGTGGGTCGGGGTCATCCGGTACCTCACCTTCTTCCAGAAGTACAACGTGAGTGGCAGCAAGGGACCATTCCCAACGCTGGGAATGGCGCCTGGAGGAGCTCAGGCTCACCCCATGGATCTCCCTACCCGCTCTATCCCCATCCCGCTCTGCATTGGAACCCCATAAGATGCTCTATGGAGGCCCATCCCAGTGACACCCCCCCCCCCCCCTTAAAAGGCTTGGGATCGTTCCCAAGTGGTTTTTCCTCTTCCAGATCCTCATTGTCACGCTCAGGGTGGCTCTTCCCAACGTCATCCGGTTCTGCTGCTGCGTGGCCGTCATCTACCTGGGCTACTGCTTCTGTGGCTGGATCGTGCTGGGGCCCTACCATGTCAAGGTGCTGCTCTGGGTGCTTGGGGTGGCAGTGGGGCCATGGGGGCTGTCCCTGTGGGGTTGCAGTGGGGCCATGGATGCTGTCCCCATGGGGTCACAGTGGGGCCATGGGTGCTGTGTCCATGAGGGTCCCAGTGTGGCAGTGGGGCCATGGATGCTGTCCCCATAGGGGTCCCAGTGTGGCAGTGGGGCCATGGGTGCTGTCCCCATTGATGTCCCAGTGTGGCAGTGGAGTCATGGGTGCTGTTTCCATGGGGGTCCCAGTGTGGCAGTGGGTCCATGGGTGCTGTCCCCGTTGATGTCCCAGTGTGGCAGTGGGGTCATGGGTGCTGTCCCCATAGGGGTCCCAGTGTGGCAGTGTGGCTATGGATGCTGTCCCCATAGGGGTCCCAGTGTGGCAGTGGGGCCATGGGTGCTGTCCCCATTGATGTCCCAGTGTGGCAGTGGGGTCATGGGTGCTGTCCACATGGGGGTTGGAGTGTGGCAGTGTGGCTATGGATGCTGTCCCCATAGGGGTCCCAGTGTGGCAGTGGGGCCATGGGTGCTGTTTCCATGGGGGTCCCAGTGTGGCAGTGGGGCCATGGATGCTGTTCCCATTGATGTCCCAGTGTGGCAGTGGGGCCATGGGTGCTGCCCCCATGAGGTTCCCGGTGTGGCAGTGGGGTCATGGGTGCTGTCCCCGTTGATGTCCCAGTGTGGCAGTGGGGCCATGGATGCTGTTCCCATTGGTGTCCCAGTGTGGCAGTGGGGCCATGGCTGCTCCCCCATTGGGATTAGACCCCAGTGGCCCATTGGAACCTTCACCCTGGTGGCACCACGGTGGCTTTCAGACCCCTTCCCAGCCCTCTTTATCCCCTCCCGTGCCAGTTCCGATCCCTTTCCATGGTGTCCGAGTGCCTCTTCTCCCTGCTCAACGGCGATGACATGTTCGTCACCTTCGCCGAGATGCAGCAGCACAGTTACCTGGTGTGGCTCTTCAGCCAGGTCTACCTCTACACCTTCATCAGCCTCTTCATCTACATGGTCCTCAGCCTCTTCATCGCCCTCATCACCGGCTCCTACGAGACCATCAAGGTGAGGCCTTCAACCAAGGCTCAATCCCTTGGGATTTGCCTTGTGGAAGGGGTTTTGGTTGTGGTTTGGGTGGTGAATCCAGTGCTGCCCCGCTTCCAGCTCATCCCAGCATCCATCCGGACCTCTCCTGGAGGCTGCTTTCCTCATCCCCCATCCCTTGGGATCGGAGCTCAGCTCCTTCCTGCTGAGAGCACCGCAATCCCCATTGCCCCACGCGGCGGCGCCGACCCCATTGCGCTCACCCCAGACCCCGCTGGGCCTTCCCTAAAGGGATTCCTTCCTCTTCCCCACAGCACCAGTGCGAGGGGGAGCCCCCCGTGTCCCAGCTCCACACCTACATTGCCCAATGCAAGGACAGCCCCAAGTCGGGCAAGTACCGGCGCGACAGCACCGCATCCTGCTCCATCTTCTGCTGCTGTGAGCGGTGAGTGGGGCTTTCGGGGGGGTGGTTCCCAATGGATTTGGGCTTGGAGAGGGGGATTTCAGGCTCTTTTCACTCCTTACCCCATGCAGACCCCGTTGCTGCACCCATGGGACCCTCCATGTGGGGCTCACTCTCCCCTTATTGCTCCCCCAGGTGGGGGGGATCCTTTTGGGCTCCTGGATCCCAAATCCATATGGATTCCCCCTCCATCCCATTCCCTCTGCTCTCCCCATAGGGCTCCTCTGCAAGACAACGCGCTGCTGGTGAACTGAGGCAGGACCCATGGGGACACCATGGGGACGATGTCCCTTTGCCCCCCTCTGCTTTTAAGGTCTTTTATAGCTGCTTTTAGCACCCTAAAGCAGGGACCGAGATGGAGGGCACACGGAATGGATGCTGATGGCCCCGTTATTCCCCATGGATTTTGAGCTGCTCCCAAGCCTGGATGCTCGGCAGCCCCAGAGCGGGATTTGGGACCTCTTGGATGTGGTTTTGGGAGCTTTGGGACTCCTTGGAAGTGCTTTTGGCAGCGACCTGGAGCCTTGGAACTCATTGGAGGAGCTTTGGGGAGCTTTGGACACCTTTGGAAGAGCCTTTGGGAGCCTTGGATCTCATTGGAAGAGGTTTTGGGAGCCTTGGACCTCATTGGAAGAGCCTTTGGGAGCCTTGGAACTCATTGGAAGAAGTTTTGGGAACCTTGGACCTTATTGGAAGAGGTTTTTGGGAGCCTTGGACTTCATTGGAAGAGGTTTTGGGAGCCTTGGACCTCATTGGAAGAGGTTTTGGGAACCTTGGACCTCATTGGAAGAGCCTTTGGGAGCCTTGGACCTCAATTGGAAGAGGGTTTGGGAGCCTTGGACCTCATTGGAAGAGGTTTTGGAGCTCTGTGCCCCCTTGGTTGGGTCCTGAAGACCTCCTCATTCATGGACTGAGTTGTGGCCGGGCTCAGCCTGGTCCAGGGGCAGGGGGTCCCAATGGGTGCCCCTGTGGTGGGGGGAATAAAGCGCCCTGGGAGATGAATGGGGCCGATGGGTGCTGCTGTGGGGGTCCCCGCGCCGTGGGGTGGGAGGGGGGGGTTTGGGTGCCAGCGCCACGGGGTGGCCATGGGGGTCACAGTGGGGCTATGGGTGGTGTCTGTACCCCCCCCTTGCCACTCCCAATATGGCGCCGCCTACCCGGCCATACCCGTTGTTGTCGCTCTTCAATGACGTCACTCCCCGCCACACCAAAGATGGCGCCTCCCGCGATACCCGCTGCGCTTACCTTGTGCTGACGTCATCTTCCCGCGCCACACCCAAGATGGCGCCCCGCAGCCTCTCCGCCCGTCTCCTCCCCGACCTTCCCAACATGGCGCCGCCGCAACGTGCCCCACCCTCCGTTGCGTATGACGTCACGGCGAGGGGCGGGGCCGCCTTAAAGGGGGCATGACCTCCGTTAGCGCCGGAGCGGGGCGTGAGGCGGCGGCCGGTGAGAGCCGGGGTTGGGGGGGGGGGGGGGGGGCATTAACGTTTATGGGGGGCAATAACGTTTATGGGGGGGCAATTAACCCCCGGGGGGGGCAGAACCGGCTTTGGGGGGGGGCAGAGGGGAGGTTGGGGGGTGCAGGACCCGTTAGGTGGCCCTGTTGGGGGGGGGGGGGGGGGGCTGTAATGGGGGGGAGGCAAAACTATTGAGGGGGGTGATATTGGGGGGTAGCTTTATTCCCCCCCCCAACTGCAGTGGTTGGGGCAATAAGAGCCTGGGGATGGGGCAATAATGGGGGGGGGCAATAATAACCCCGGGGGGGGGTGGTTATTGACTTGGGGGGGGTAAAGGGGGGCCGAAGGAGATGGGGGTGATGGGGCAATAGCAGCCATGGGGGGGCAAAGCTGGCCTTGGGGGGGGTGGTGTAAAGGGGGGGGGTGTTAATATTGCCCCTGGTAGAACAAGCAAAGGGGGGTAATAATGGAGGGGGGGTGATGGCAGAAATGGGGGGGGTAATTGGCACCTATGGGGCTGTTGTCACCCATGAGGTGGCTGTTGTCACCTATGGGGTGGCTGTTGTCACCTATGGGTGGCTGTTGTCTCCTATGGGCGGCTGTTGTCACCCATGGGGCAGCTGTTGTCACCCATGGGGCAGCTGTTGTCACCCATGGGTGGCTGTTGTCACCCATAGTGGGGGCTGTTGTCACCCATAGTGGGGGCTGTTGTCACCCATGGGGGTGTCACCCGGGCCTGGTGCTGTTGCCACCTCCCATGGGGTGTCCTTGGGAAGGTGACCGAGGGGGGGTGGTGGTGGTGTCATGGTTGTGACACCGAGGGCTGCTGTGGTGGGTGACAGGGACAGGGTGACACCACAATGGGTGATAAGGACAGGGTGACATCACAATGGGTGACATCACAATGGGTGACACTGTGATGGTGACAGTGACAGAGTGACCCCACGATGGGTGACAGGGACAGGGTGACACTGTGATGGGTGACACCACAGTGGGTGACAGGGACAGGGTGACACCACAATGGGGGACAGGGACAGGGTGACACCGTGATGGGTGGCACCACAATGGGTGACAGTGACAGGGTGACACCATGATTGTGACAGTGACAGAGTGACCCCACAATGGGTGACAGGGACAGGGTGACACTGTGATGAGTGACACCACAATGGGTGACACCACAGTGGGAGACAGGGACAGGGTGACACTGTGATGGTGACAGTGACAGAGTGATCCCACAGTGGGTGACAGGGACAGGGTGACACCACAATGGGTGACAGGGATAGGGTGACACCATGATGGGTGACACTGTTCGGTGGCCTCCACAGGAACTGTCACAACCACAGTGTTCCTGCCACCTCTTCCTGTCCCCACCATGCAGAGGACCCTGAAGTCCCCTCCTGCCCCCTTGATGTCACCCTTGGGGGCGGGGGGGGTGTCCCTATTGCACCCCTCACACAGCAACCCCCAACCAAAGCCACCCCTTGGTGGGGTTTCACCCACCTGGAGGTGTCCCTTGGGTGGCCCCAACCCGGTGGCTTTGGGCTCTCTCTGCAGGCTGGGGCCATGGGGCAGAGCGAGTCGGAGCCGCAGGAGGAGGTGGAGGTAGGAGCTGTCCCCCCCATGGACACGGGGGGGGGAGGGTGTGACAGCCACCCCCATAGGGTGTCAGGGGGTGACACCAGGGTGTCCCCATGTCCCTGCAGGACGAGTCCGCCATGGCTGGGATGGCCCTGTTCTTCAGTGAGGAGCAGCTCATCACGGTGAGGGGGCATCAATGGGTCCCCAAGGGGTGGTGGCAGGGCCCCGATGCTGCTGAGCACCCCTTGAAGGGCCCCCAATGTGTCCCCATGTCCCCTAAGGGACGGTGTCCCCATCCCCAATGCTGCTGAGCACCCCTTGAAGGGCCCCCAATGTGTCCCCATGTCCCCTAAGGGACGGTGTCCCCATCCCCAATGCTGCTGAGCACCCCTTGAGGGGCCCAAATGTGTCCCCATGTCCCCTAAGGGACGGTGTCCCCAACCCTAATGCTGCTGAGCACCACTTGAAGGGCCCAAGTGTGTCCCCATGTCCCCTAGGGGATGGTGTCCCCATTCCCAATGCTGCTCAGCACCCCTTGAGGGCCCCAAATGTGTCCCCATGTCCCCTAAGGGACAGTGTCCCCATCCCCAATCCTACTGAGCACCCCTTTAGGGCCCCAAATGTGTCCCCATGTCCCCTAGGGGACGGTGTCCCCATCCCCAATGCTGCTGAGCACCCCTTGAGGGGCCCAGTGTGTCCCCATGTCCCCTAAGGGACAGTGTCCCCATCCCCAATGCTGCTGAGCACCCCTTGAAGGGCCCAAATGTGTCCCCATGTCCCCTAAGGGACAGTGTCCCCTTCCCCAATGCTGCTGAGCACCCCTTGAAGGGCCCCAAATGTGTCCCCATGTCCCCTAAGGGACAGTGTCCCCTTCCCCAGTGCTGCTGAGCACCCCTTGAAGGGCCCCAAATGTGTCCCCATGTCCCCTAAGGGACGGTGTCCCCTTCCCCAGTGCTGCTGAGCACCCCTTGAAGGGCCCCAAATGTGTCCCCATGTCCCCTAAGGGACAGTGTCCCCATCCCTAATGCTGCTGAGCACCACTTGATGGGACACGAACGTGTCCCCATGTCCTCAAAGGACAGTGTTCTATCCTCCAATGGCTCCGTGTCACCGCAGTGGCAGTGCCACCAATCACCCCCCCACTTGTCCCCATGCCCTTGGGGACACTTGGGGCCCCCCCTGTCTCTGTGCAGGTGCTGGGAGCCTTCCTGGGCTTGACCTTCTTCGCTGCCATCACCGTGGCCACCGTGGTCCTGCTGCGCCGCTTGCGCCTGAAGAGTGAGTGTGCCCCCATGGTGGCCTTGGGGACAGGGGGGTGACACCGTCCCCATTGCCCTGTCCCCACCATGGTGTTCTTGGGGACAGGGAGGTGGCACCGTCCCCATTGCCCTGTCCCCACCATGGTGTCCTTGGGGACAGGGAGGTGACACCGTCCCCATTGCCCTGTCCCCACCATGGTGTCCTTGGGGACGGGGAGGTGACACCATCCCCATTGCCCTGTCCCCACCATGGTGTCCTTGGGGACAGGGAGGTGACACCATCCCCATTGCCCTGTCCCCACCATGGTGTCCTTGGGGACGGGGAGGTGACACCATCCCCATTGCCCTGGGTCCCCCATGGTGTCCTTGGGGACAGGGGGGTGACACCATCCCCATTGCCCTGTCCCCACCATGGTGTCCTTGGGGACAGGGAGGTGGCACCGTCCCCATTGCCCTGTCCCCACCATGGTGTCCTTGGGGACAGGGAGGTGACACCGTCCCCATTGCCCTGTCCCCCCCATGATGTCCTTGGGTACTGGGAGGTGACACCGTCCCCATTGCCCTGTCCCCACCATGGTGTCCTTGGGGACAGGGAGGTGACACCATCCCCATTGCCCTGTCCCCACCATGGTGGCCTTGGGGAAAGGGATGTAATGCCAACCCCATTGCCCTGTCCCCACCATGGTGTCCTTGGGGACAGGGAGGTGACACCATCCCATTGCCCTGGGTCCCCCATGGTGTCCTTGGGGACAGGGAGGTGACACCATCCCCATTGCCCTGTCCCCACCATGGTGGCCTTGGGGAAAGGGATGTAATGCCAACCCCATTGCCCTGTCCCCACCATGGTGTCCTTGGGGACAGGGAGGTGACACCGTCCCCATTGCCCTGTCCCCACCATGGTGTCCTTGGGGACAGGGAGGTGACACCATCCCATTGCCCTGGGTCCCCCATGGTGTCCTTGGGGACAGGGAGGTGACACCATCCCCATTGCCCTGTCCCCACCATGGTGGCCTTGGGGAAAGGGATGTAATGCCAACCCCATTGCCCTGTCCCCACCATGGTGTCCTTGGGGACAGGGAGGTGACACCGTCCCCATTGCCCTGTCCCCCCCATGATGTCCTTGGGTACTGGGAGGTGACACCATCCCCATTGCCCTGTCCCCACCATGGTGGCCTTGGGGAAAGGGATGTAATGCCAACCCCATTGCCCTGTCCCCACCATGGTGTCCTTGGGGACAGGGAGGTGACACCATCCCCATTGCCCTGTCCCCCCCATGGTGTCCTTGGGGACAGGGAGGTGACACCGTCCCCATTGCCCTGTCCCCCCCATGGTGTCCTTGGGGACAGGGAGGTGACACCGTCCCCATTGCCCTGTGTCCCCCATGATGTCCTTGGGTACTGGGAGGTGACACCGTCCCCATTGCCCTGTCCCCCTCAGTGTCCCCAGGAGCCGTGGAGCAGGAGTCCCCGCGGTACCGCTTCCGCAAGCGGGACAAGATGCTCTTCTACGGCCGCAAGATCATGCGCAAGGTGACATTGAGGTGACCACAAAGAAGGGGGGGGGGGGGGGGGGGCGTGTGGGTGCTGGTGGCTTCTTGGTGTCCCCATTGAGCGCCCCCTCCCTGTCCCCAACCCCAGGTGTCCCAATCCACGTCGTCCCTCATGGACACCACCATCTCCAGCGCCTCGCGCCCGCGCATGAAGAGGAGGCTGCGGATGTTCAACCTGGCCAGGAAGTGAGGAGCCCATGGGGTGCCATGGGATGGGGACCCCAAAGGGGACACAGGCTGGCAGTGACCCGGTGCCACCTCCGTGTCCCCGAGGTTCCTGCACATGCAGAAGGAGCTGCCCAAGCTGCAGATGAAGGAGCCGTCGCCGGTGCTGCTGGAGGCCGACCTGGGCGAGTTCGACACCGGCAGCTCCCACCTGCCCTCCGAGGTGCTCTTCATGCTCAAGAACGTGCGGTGAGGAGCAGGAGAAGGGGAGCCAGGGGGAGCAGGAGCCAGCCATGGGGTCAGGAACAGGATCCAGGGGGAGCAGGAGCCAGCCATGGGGTCAGGAATAGGATCCAGGGGGAGCAGGAGCCAGCCATAGGGTTAGGAGCAGGATCCAGGGGGAACAGGAGCCAGCCATGGGGTCAGGAATAGGATCTAGGGGGAGCAGGAGCCAGCCATGGGGTCAGGAACAGGATCCAGGGGGAGCAGGAGCCAGCCATGGGGTCAGAAACAGGATCTAGGGGGAGCAGGAGCCAGCCATGGGGTCAGGAACAGGATCCAGGGGGAGCAGGAGCCAGCCATGGGGTCAGAAATAGGATCCAGGGGGAGCAGGAGCCTGCCATGGGGTCAGAAACAGGATCTAGGGGGAGCAGGAGCCAGCCATGGGGTCAGGAACAGGATCCAGGGGGAGCAGGAGCCAGCCATGGGGTCAGAAACAGGATCTAGGGGGAGCAGGAGCCTGCCATGGGGTCAGAAACAGGATCTAGGGGGAGCAGGAGCCAGCCATGGGGTCAGGAACAGGATCCAGGGGGAGCAGGAGCCAGCCATGGGGTCAGAAATAGGATCCAGGGGGAGCAGGAGCCAGCTATAGGGTCAGGAACAGGATCCAGGGGGAACAGGAGCCAGATATGGGGTCAGGAGCAGGAGAAGGGGAGCCAGGGGAAGCAGGAGCCAGCCATGGGGTCAGGAATAGGATCTAGGGGGAGCAGGAGCCAGCCATGGGGTCAGGAACAGGATCTAGGGGGAGCAGGAGCCAGCCATGGGGTCAGGAATAGGATCTAAGGGGCTGCAGGATCCATCCCTGTGGATCAGGATCCATCCCTGCGGTCAGGAGCAGGATCCAGGGGGTCCACGATGCAGCTCTTAGGCTCAGGATCCAGCCCTTGGCCCCATTGCTATGGGTCAGGATTAGGGTCCAGGGGTCAGTATCCATCCCTGTGGATCAGGATCAGGATCCATCCCTGGGCTCAGGAGCAGGATCCAAGAGGACCAGGATCCAGCCTTTGGGGTCAGGATCCAGCCCTGGGGTCAGGATCCATTGCTATGGGTCAGGATTAGGATCCAGGGGTCAGTATCCATCCCTGTGGATCAGGATCAGGATCCATCCCTGGGCTCAGGAGCAGGGTCCAAGAGGACCAGGATCCAGCCTTTGGGGTCAGGATCCAGCCCTGGGGTCAGGAGCAGGATCCAAGAGGACCAGGATCCAGCCTTTGGGGTCAGGATCCAGCCCTGTGGTCAGGATCCATTGCTATGGGTCAGGATTAGGATCCAGGGGTCAGTATCCATCCCTGTGGATCAGGATCAGGATCCATCCCTGGGCTCAGGAGCAGGGTCCAAGAGGACCAGGATCCAGCCTTTGGGGTCAGGATCCAGCCCTGGGGTCAGGAGCAGGATCCAAGAGGACCAGGATCCAGCCTAAAGGGTCAGGATCCATTGGTGTGGGTCAGGATTAGGGTCCAGGGGGACCAGGATCCATCCTTGGGGTCAGGATCCATCCCTGAGGTCAGGCTCAGGATCCAGGACTCAGGATCCAATCCCTTTGCGTGGGTCCAGGCTGGACCGGTTCCCTGGAGGATGCTCTTCCCTTCTGCATCCCCATCGCTGTGGTGGCCCCAGGGGACCAGAGCAGCTCCTGGTGGGCTCCGTGTCACCTCGTGTCCCCATCCTTGTCTCCGCAGGGTGCTGGGTCACTTTGAGAAGCCCTTGTTCCTGGAGCTCTGCAAGCACATGGTGTTCCAGCAGTGCCACCAAGGGGAATACGTCTTCCGGCCGGGACAAGCCGACTCCAGCATCTACGTGCTGCAGGATGGGAAACTGGAGCTGATCCTCACCGGACCGGTGTGGATGGGGGCAGTCAGGGGGAAGAGAGGTGGTGGGTGGGTGGGTGGATGGATGATGGATGGATGGATGGATGGTGGATGATGGATGGATGGATGGTGGATGATGGATGGATGGATGATGGATGGATGGATGATGATGGATGGATGGATGGATGATGGATGGATGGATGATGGATGGATGGATGATGGATGGATGGATGGATGGATGGATGGATGGATGGATGATGGATGGATGGGTGATGGATGATGGATGGATGGATGATGGATGATGGATTGATGGATGGATGATGGATGGATGGATGGATGGATGGATGGATGGATGGATGGATGGATGGGCACACCAAGGGCATGGAGATGGGAAGAGCAAAGGGAGTTTGTGCTGTACAGGATGGGAAGGAGACGGTGATGAAGGAGGTGTTCCCTGGGGACAGCGTGCACAGCCTGCTCAGCATCGTCGATGTCCTCACGGTACCAGTGCCAGCTGTGTCCCCAGGTCCCCTAAACCTGGGCATGGCCATCCCCAAACCCTCTAAGCTTGGTTGGGGCCATCCCCAGGCCCTCTATGCTTGATCATGGTTGTCCCCAAGCCCCCTAAACCTGGTTGTGACCATCCCCAAGCCTCCTAAGCGTGATGGTGGTTGATTCCCAAGTCCCTCCAACCTGACCATAGGTGTCCCCAACCCTTCCCAGCCCAACCATGGCCATCCCCAAGCCCAACCAGCCAAAAGCCTGGTGCCACCAGTGAGCTTTGCCAGCCAAGTGCCACCACCCCTCATGCATGGCTGAGATGGACCTCGATGTGTCACCTAGGGCCACCAACGTCCATACAAGACAGTGAGCGCCCGGGCAGCAGCGAACTCCACCATCCTCCGGTTGCCAGTTGAAGCTTTCTCAGCCATCTTTGAGAACTACCCCGAGAGCTTGGTGCGGATGGTGCAGGTGGGTCTGGCTTGGTGGGACCCCCATGGGGTTGTCCCCTTGGGGTGCCAGGAGACCACTGATGGCTTCTTCCCCCCCCCCCCCCCCCCCCCGCTGTAGATCATTATGGTGCGCCTGCAGCGAGTCACCTTCTTGGCTTTGCACAACTACCTTGGCTTGACCAACGAGCTCTTCAGCCACGTGAGTTCTTCCTCAACTCCTGTGAGCCCCCAACCCTCCCCATGCTCCCCATTGAGGACGTGCCACCACCAAAGCTCTTCCCACAGCCCAGCCACGCCGCCCGCACCAGCCCGGTCCGCCACGGCAAGCGCGGCCTCGGCCACACGGATGAGGGCCGGGAGCCAGGTAGCAGCTGGGAATGGGGCCCTGGAACCTCTCCCCATGGTGGTGCCACCATGATGGGGGGCTCTGCTGCTCATACTTAGGGTAGTTTCTCATCCAGCTGCTGAGACATTGAAAGCTGGAGGCCCAGAGCCCCCCAAGCCGACCATGAGCCGCTGCATCTCCATGCCCGTGGACATTGCTGGTGGGTCAGAGGCTGGCGGAAGGAACTGGGGGGTCCCGAGGTCATGTAGGGCCACCAGGGTTGTGGACCTCTTCCAACCTCATGTGGCCACCACCCCAGAGCATTCTGCTACCCCGTGTTCCTGTATCTCCCATCCTTGTGCATCCCCATCCCACATCTCCCACCCTTGTGCATCCCCATCCTGCATCTCCCATCCTTGTGCATCCCCATCCTGCATCTCCCACCCTTGTGCATCCCCATCCTGCATCTCCCATCCTTGTGCATCCCCATCCTGCATCTCCCACCCTTGTGCATCCCCATCCTGCATCTCCCATCCTTGTGCATCCCCATCCTGCATCTCCCACCCTTGTGCATCCCCATCCTGCATCTCCCACCCTTGTGCATCCCCATCCTGCATCTCCCACCCTTGTGCATCCCCATCCTACATCTCCCACCCTTGTGCACCCCCATCCCTCATCTCCCATCCTTGTGCACCCCCATCCCTCATCTCCCATCCTTGTGCATCCCCATCCCACATCTCCCATCCTTGTGCATCCCCATCCCTCATCTCCCATCCTTGTGCACCCCCATCCTACATCTCCCACCCTTGTGCATCCCCATCCTACATCTCCCACCCTTGTGCACCCCCATCCCTCATCTCCCATCCTTGTGCACCCCCATCCTACATCTCCCACCCTTGTGCACCGCCATCCCACATCTCCCATCCTTGTGCACCGCCATCCCACATCTCCCATCCTTGTGCATCCCCATCCCTCATCTCCCACCCTTGTGCATCCCCATCCCTCATCTCCCACCCTTGTGCATCCCCATCCTACATCTCCTACCCTTGTGCACCCCCATCCCTCATCTCCCACCCTTGTGCACCCCCATCCTGCATTCCCCATCCAAAACCCTTGTCTTGGACCCTGGTGACCCCACCTTCCCCCATCACAGGCATCCAGAAAGGTCCTCGCTCTGACTTCGACCTGGCCTACGAGCGTGGGCGCATCTCGGTGTCACTGCAGGAGGACAGAACCAGCGCCTTTCCCACCTTCTCCCAGGTAAAGAGGGTTGGGATAATGGAGGAGAGTCCACTTGGAAGACCATGGTCAATGATGTTCTGCAGGAGCTGATACTGCAGGGTCATCTTCACCTTGTTTCTCAATGATGTGGATGAAGGGATGGGAGATACGGAACTGGGGGTGGAGATATGGAATTGGGAATGGAGCTATGGAATTGGGGATGGAGATACAGAGCTGGGCATGGAGATACGGAGCTGGGCATGGAGCTATGGAGTCGGGGATGGAGCTATGGAATTGGGGATGGAGATACAGAGCTGGGATGGAGATACGGAGCTGGGCATGGAGATATGGAATTGGGGATGGAGATACGGAGCTGGGCATGGAGATACGGAGCTGGGCATGGAGATATGGAATTGGGGATGGAGATACAGAATTGGGCATGGAGATATGGAATTGGGGATGGAGATACGGAGTTGGGGATGGAGATACAGAGTTGGGGATGGAGATACGGAGCTGGGCATGGAGATACGGAGCTGGGCATGGAGATATGGAATTGGGGATGGAGATACGGAGCTGGGCATGGAGATACGGAGCTGGGCATGGAGATATGGAATTGGGGATGGAGATACAGAATTGGGCATGGAGATATGGAATTGGGGATGGAGATACGGAGTTGGGGATGGAGATACAGAGTTGGGGATGGAGATACGGAGCTGGGCATGGAGATATGGAATTGGGGATGGAGATATGGAGTTGGGGATGGAGATACAGAGCTGGGGTGGAGCTATGGAATTGGGGATGGAGATAGGAATTGGGGATGGAGCTATGGAATTGGGGATGGAGATAAGGAGCTGGGGATGGAGCTATGGAATTGGGGATGGAGATACGGAGTTGGGGATGGAGATACGGAGTTGAGGATGGAGATACAGAGTAGGGGATGGAGATACGGAATTGGGGATGGAGATAAGGAGCTGGCATGGAGGTACTGAGCTGGGGATGGAGATATGGAGCTGGGGATGGAGATACAGAGCTGGGGATGGAGATACGGAGCTGGGGATGGAGATACGGAGCGGGGGATGGAGATACGGAGCTGGGGATGGAGATACGGAGCTGGGGATGAAGATACAGAGTTGTGGGAGCAGCTGATCCATCCCTGGTCAGGATCAGGATCCAAGGGAATCTGGAGACATTCCAAACCCAGCATGGCCACATTCCTGTGTATCCTGCTGGAGGTGGCCCTGCCTTGGCCCCCCAGATAATCTCCAGAGGTCCCTTCCAATCCTAATGATTGTGTCCACCCAAATCCTTCACCAGCACCACCAGGGTGACCATGGATGGTGATGGACCTGTCCCATCTCCCCCATAGTCCATCTCTCATGAGCCTAAGGAGCGCAAGACGGTGACGCTGGAGGAGCAACCATCTGGTATCTACCGCTACAGCTATGGCAGGGAAGAGCCCACCCCTATGAACCCTCCCGTTGGACCATACCAGGGCAGCCAGAGCAGCACCATCTTGGAGACTGCCAAGCAAGAGCTGGGCAAGCTCATGAAGTTGGAGGTGAGAGCAGGAACAGCTCCTCTAGGCCTTTGCGGTGGTCCCCTGTGGCTTCATGTTGGTCCCCATGGCTTCATGGTGGTCCTTGTCACTTCATGTTGGTCCCTTCTTGCTTTGTAGTGGTTCATGTTGCTTCGTGATTGGTTCTTGTGGTCTTGTGGTGGGTCTTCATCACTTTGTGGTGGCTCCAGTCACCTCATGATGGATCCCCATCACTTTGTGGTGGTCCCCCATCCCTTTGGGATGGTCCTCCATCACTTTGTGTTGTCCCCATTGCCCCCTGTCTCCTCATTGTGGTCCCCATCTCCTCGCGGTGGGGTTGCCATCTCCTCATGGTGGTCTCCATGGTAGTCTCCATCTCCTCTTGGTGGACCCCATCACCTCATGTCATGCTGTTCTTCCTTCTAGGACCCTTCTCTCCTTGATGACCGTGTCGAGCTCTATCGTGCCAAGGCTGGGGCGGTCATTGCCTGTGAAGGGGAACAGGTTGGTTTGGGTTTTGGAGAGCTGCTCCCATCACCCTTCATCTCCATGGGGTGCTCCTCGTCCTGCTCCTTCCCTATGGGTGACAGGGGGCAGGAACGATCCCCAAAGCCATCTGGAGGGTGCAAAACACCTTGGGAAGAGAACCAGAAGAAAGGCCCCAAGTGATGCTGAGGATCTCAGGTGGCCTCCAATGGTGATGGGGTGACATCTTGGCAGGACGCGAGCCTCTACTTTGTCATATGTGGCTGCCTGCATGTGTACCAGCAGATGATTGACAAGGCAGAACACGTCTTCCTCTTCTTGACCCAACCTGGAGAGATGGTGGGACAACTGGGCGTGCTCACTGGTGAGCCCCTCATCTACACCATCAAGGCCAACCGCGACTGCACCTTCCTCAAGATGTCCAAGATGGACTTCTACGAGTGAGTGGAGGAGCTCTGGGGGCAAAGGGTTGATTCCAAAGGGGATTCTCAAGGTGGCATCTCTTGGGGCTCCCCCCAACTGCTCTTGGCCCCTAGCATCATGCGGGAGCAGCCCAGCGTGGTGCTGACCGTTGCCCACATCGTGGTGGCCCGTATGTCCCCCTTCGTGCGCCAGATGGACTTTGCCATCGACTGGATGGCAGTGGAGGCCGGGCGGGCGCTCTACCGGTGGGTACCAAGGGATGGGTGCCCACCTCGCCTTGGGGAGCCACCCAGCACGTCGGTATGGAGCTGAGGTCCTGAGCTCCACACACTGGTGGTGTCCCTCAGGCAGGGTGACAAGTCAGACTGTACCTACATCGTGCTCAACGGGCGCCTCCGCTCCGTCATCCAGAAGGGCAGCGGCAAGAAGGAGCTCGTTGGGGAGTACGGCCGTGCAGACCTCATCGGGGTGGTGAGAGCCATGGCAGGGCCGTGGGGTGGACACCACGGGTGTCTGGATGGTGCATCATGGCCACGTGTCTTCTACTGCAGGTGGAAGCCCTCACCCGGCAGCCTCGTGCCACCACGGTCCATGCGGTGCGGGACTCGGAGCTGGCCAAGCTGCCTGAGGGCACCTTGAACAACATCAAGCGCAGATACCCCCAGGTACCTCCAGATCTTCCATCGTGGGTTCTTCACCTACGGAAGGAGAATGTCCCCTTGTCCCTTCCGGCCTGTAGAGGTCCTCAATGGGTGTCCCTCTCTGAGGTGGTGGTGGCGGCGGCGGCACCCGTAAAGGCACATGGGACACTAGTTTGGGGTCCAGCTTAGGAAGCCCTGCCAGGTGTGATGATGCCATGGGGCTGATGCCATCCCCATCCTGGTCCCTGCAGGTCGTCACCCGCCTCATCCACCTCCTGAGCCAGAAGATCTTGGGGAACCTGCAGCAACTCCGTGCGCCCTTTGCAAGTAGGTCCTAAAGGGACTGGGGCCAACGAGGTGTCTTCTTCAGGGCTGGTGGCCATCACCAGAGCAGTGCATGGAAGGTGTCCACGTCCCTATGGTCCTGTCCGTGCAGGCTCTGGCTTGGGCATGGCCTCCAGCTCGGAGCCCATCAACCCCACCAGCAACCTCTCAACGGTGGCGGTGCTGCCGGTGTGTGACAGTGTCCCTGCCGTGGCCTTCTCACTGGAGCTCAAGCACGCTCTTGATGCCATCGGTGAGTGCCAGTGCAGCGGTGACCCCAGCATGGTGGTGACCACGATCACATAGCACAATGATGACCATGGCATGACGGTGACCGCAGCCCTATGGCATGATGGTGACCACAGCCCCATGGCATGATGGTGACCACAGCGTAGCGTTGACCACAACCCCATGGGCACAATGGTGACCACAGCATGGCGGTGACCGCAGCCCCATGGCAATGATGGTGACCACAGCATGCTGGTGACCACAACCCCATGGCATGGTACCATCCATGACCTGATGACCACAGCCCCATGGCATGATGATGACTACAGCATGGTTGCAACGACAGCCCCATGGCATGATGATGACCACAGGATGGTGGTGACCACAACCCCATGGCACGATGGTGACCACAGCATGGTTGTGACCACAGCTCCATGGCATGGTAGCTATCGTGACCTGATGACTACAACCCCATGGCCATGATGGTGACCACAGCATGGTTGCAACCTCAACCCCATGGCAACAACGATGACCACATCATAGTGGTGACCACAGCCTCATGGCACAATGGTGACCACAGCGTGCTGGTGACCACAATCCTATGGCATGGTAGCAACCATGACCTGGTGACCACAACCCCATGGCATGATGGTGACCACAGCATGGTTGTCACCACAACCCCGTGGCACAATGGTGACCACATCCTAGTGGTGACCACAGCCTCATGGCACAACGGTGACCACAGCATGCTGGTGACCACAACCCCATGGCACAATGGTGACCACAGCATGGTGGTGACCACAACCCCATGGCATGGTACCATCCATGACCTGGTGCCCAGAGCCCCATGGCACAATGGTGACCACGGCATGGTGGTGACCATGTCCCACCTCTTCCAGGTCCCACTTTGCTCCTCACCAGCGACGTCCTCCGCATCAACCTCGGCTACTTGGCGCTGGACAGGTAACTCCCATTGGGAGGACCATCAGCAGCGACCCACCACCAGCGTGCCACCAGCTGACCCCCCCCCCATCTCGGCAGCATCCAGGAGTACCGCCTCTCGGGGTGGTTGGCACAGCAGGAGGACAGCCACCGCATCGTCCTCTACCTGACTGACTCCACCCTGACCTCCTGGACCGTGCGGTGCATCCGTCAGGCCGACTGCATCCTCATCGTAGGCATGGGTGACCAAGAGCCGATGGTGGGGAAGGTGAGGTTGAGGAGGCAGGAGGTGGTGGGACACCACTGCGGTGGGTGGCTGATGGCTTCTACAGCTGGAGCAGATGCTGGAGAACACGGCAGTGCGGGCACTGAAGCAGTTGGTTCTCCTGCACCGTGAGGGCGGGCCCGGCCCTTGCCGCACCGTTGAGTGGCTCAACATGCGCAGTTGGTGCTCGGGTCACTTCCACATCAGGTGTCCCAAGCACATCTTCACGCGACGGAACCCGGCCAGGCTGGTACGTTGTGTGTGTCCCAGAGGTGGCCTTGGTGGTCCACCTCTCCCAGTGGCACCCAACGGCCATGGCATCCACAGCAGGAGACGTATGAGAAGTTGTATAAGAAGAAGGCCGACATCCACAGCGACTTCTCCCGCCTGGCGCGGGTCCTCACCGGCAACACCATCGCCCTCGTCCTGGGTGGCGGCGGAGCCAGGTGGGTGCCACACCAAGGATGGGACTCGGTGGCGTGCGGAGGTCCCCGTCTCATCCCTCCTTCTCTTCGCCCAGGGGCTGCGCCCACATCGGGGTGATCAAGGCGATGGAGGAGGTGGGGATCCCCATTGACATGGTTGGTGGCACCTCCATCGGTGCCTTCATCGGGGCGCTCTACGCCGAGGAGCGCTGCGCCGACAGCACCAGGCAGCGGGCGCGGGAGTGGGCCAAGGTGGGTGCCAGGGCATGGCCCCACCACAGAGAAGGACCTTCCTGCCAGGGGAAGTGTCTCCTTCCTCCTGTTCCTCTTCCTCTTGCGTCTCTTTCTTCCTCTTCCTCCTCCTTTGCCTTCTCTCCTTATTCTAACTCCGTCTCTTCCTCCTTCTCTACCTTGCTCTTCCTCGTCTTCTCCTCTCCTTATTCTTCCTCCTCCTCCTTTTCTTACTCTTCTTTCTCCCTCTTCCTTCTTTCCTCTTTCCTTCCTCATCCTTTTCTCCTCCTGCTTTTCTTCTCCTCCTTCTTTCCTCCTTCCTCATTCTTCCCTTGTTCTCCTCCTTCTTTTCCTTCTCTTCCTCCTGTCCTCGTCCTTCTTTCTCCTTTTTTGTCTCCTTCTTCTTTCTCCCCTTTCTCTCTTCTTCCTTCTCTCCTCGTCCTCCTTTTCTCCTCCTCCTTCCTTCTTCTTCTTTCCTCCTCCTCTATTTTTCCTCCTCCTTTCTCCTCCTTATTTCTGTCTCCACCTTCTCCTTTCTTCTCTCTTCTTCCTTCTTTCCTCCTCCTTCTCTCTCCCTTCTCTCCTCCCTCCTCCTCCTCCTCCTCCAGTGCATGAACTCAGTGTTTGCGACCATCCTGGACCTCACCTACCCCATCACCTCCATGTTTTCGGGCTCAGCCTTCAACGACAGCATCAACAAGGTTTTCCAGGACAAGCAGATCGAGGTGGGTCACTCCCCCCTCCCTGCTGAGGGTCCTGAGGGTCCTCACCCACCCCACAGTGTCCCCACAGTGTCACCCACCCCCTCTTCTCCCCACAGGACCTGTGGCTGCCTTACTTCAACGTCACAACCGACATCACAGCCTCCACCATGCGGGTGCACACAGACGGTAAGGACTCCATGGAGAAGTTCTCTGGTGCTACCACAGCCCCCTTTGTGGGGACCTTCCTCACCAGCACCCCAAAACGTGTCGCTGCTCCATGGGGGAAGGCTTGCCATGTCCCAAGGAGAAGACGCATCCTGGTCCAGCCAGGAAGGGGCTTGGAGGGCTCATGGTGAGCCCAGGCAGTGGTGGCTTCCCATAGAAGCAATCAGGTTGGAGAAGACCTTTAAGCATCATCAAGCCCAACCTGGTCACCCCCACCAGGCCCAGCTCCCAGTGGGGGTCTGCCTGTGCCTGGTGGGGTTGGGAGCAGAAGTGGGGGGTGAAGCTTCACCCCGACACTTCGAGCATGTGTGTGTCTCCTCTAACATAGCTGCTCACCACTAACCCCATAACGCACGCTCACAGCATGGGCAGCACGGGCGTGATGTGGTGGTGCTGGGGTCAATATGGTGGTGGTGGAGTCAGTGTGGTGGTGGGGATGATGTCATGGGGATGATGTCATGGTGATGGGGATGATGTGGTGGTGGTGGAGTCAGTGTGGTGGTGGGGATGATGTGATGGGGATGATGTCATGGTGATGGGGATGATGTGGTGGTGACGGGGATGATGTGGTGGTGGGGTCAATATGGTGGTGGTGGAGTCAGTGTGGTGGTGGGGATGATGTCATGGGGATGATGTCATGGTGATGGGGATGATGTGGTGGTGGTGGAGTCAGTGGTGGTGGGGATGATGTGATGGGTATGATGTCATGGTGATGGGGATGATGTGGTGGTGGTGGGGATGATGTGGTGGTGATGGGGATGATGTGTTGATGGTGAGGTCAATGTGATGGTGGTGGAGTCAGTGTGGTGGCGGGGATGATGTGATGGGGATGATGTCATGGTGATGGGGATGATGTGGTGGTGATGGGGATGATGTGGTGGTGATGGGGATGATGTGGTGGTGATGGGGATGATGTGGTGATGGTGAGGTCAATGGGATGGTGGTGGAGTCAGTGTGGTGGTAGGGATGATGTGATGGCAATGATGTGGTGGTGATGGGGATGATGTGGTGGTGATGGGGATGATGCGGTGGTGGTGGGGACATTGCGGTGGTGGTGGGGACGATGCGGTGGTGGTGGGGACGATGCGGTGGTGGTGGGGATGATGTGGTGTTGGTGGGGACATCACAGTGGTGGTGGGGACATCGCGGTGGTGGTGGGACACGGTGGTGGCTGCCCCTCCTCCTTGCCTGGTGTTGGAGCTCCCCTGGGACATTGAGCCATCCACAAGGCTGCCCGGGGTGGCTTCCCAAAGCAGCCTTGCTATTGCTCTGCCTGTTCCTCTGGCTTCTAATGCCAACTAATCCCCACTCACCACCCCTAACCAGCATCTCCGTCCTTCCCTCATCCTGGCTGGCTTGGTTCTGGGGCTCCAAACCTCCTTGGTCACCTACTGCTGGGGCCTCAATGGCCATGACCATGTCCTCTCCCTCCGGCAGGCAGCCTTTGGCGCTACGTCCGAGCCAGTACCTCTTATACCCCCTACCTGCCTCCTCTCTGCGACCCCAAGGACAGCCACTGGCTCGTGGATGGCTGCTATGTTAACAATGTCCCAGGTCAGCATCTCCCTCACCGGGACCATCAACTCCTCCAAGACCCCACCTCCCAAACCCACGTCCCATCCCAAGTTGAGCTTTCCCAACAGGCAAGGTCAAGGACGCGCAATGGGGTTCCTCTGCCACCCATGGGTGCCCCCATGGGGTGTAGACGTCCCCGGGCAGGGGCGAGGGGCAGCCCCAAGGAGGGATCTCCAGGCGGGGTTGTGCTCATTGGGTTTGTTCCTGCTGGCGTAGGCTCGCTCTGGCGCTACGTGCGAGCCAGCATGACCCTTTCTGGGTACCTGCCACCACTCTGTGACCCCAAGGATGGCAACTTACTGATGGATGGTGGTTACATCAACAACCTGCCAGGCAAGTAGCAGCTCCACACCATCACCGTCACCCTGGGCTGGCCTTGGAGGTGGTGGTGAGTGGTTGGGCGAGGGCTACGTGGCCACCATGAGGTGGGTTCTCAACGGTTGGAGATGACGAGGTTGGAGTTGGGACGTCTGGCTTGGTTTTGCATCTTCTTGGTGGTTTCCTTGTTGACGTCTTCGTGTGCCTTCATCTGGCACAAGATGGTGTTCTCCATAGGGAATCATGGAATAGGTTGGGTTGGAAGGGACCTTGAAGCTCATCCTGTTAACAGCAGGAACACCTTCCACTAGAGCAGGTTGCTCTGAGCCTCTGTGTCCAACCTGGCCTTGAACACTGCCAGGGATGGGGCAGCCACAGCTTCTCTGGGCACCCTATGCCAGTGTCCCACCACCTTTCATCTTGCATCATCTCTTGGTGTCCTCCCTATCTGGTGGCTTCTCATCCTCATGCTTCTTCACACACAAGATGCAGGCCTTCATCTTGCAGCATCCTTGGTATCCTCAGCATCCTCATGCTCCTTTGATGCCAACCTCCTGCATCATCCTTTTCGTGGCATGGAGTGTTCTCTGAGGGCATCTCTGTCCTCCTGCAGGCCACCTCCCTCCATCCTGCACCAGCTTCAGTGCTCTCAGCAGTGGGTGTCCTCCTGGGGCATCTTCGTGCTCCATCACGTGCAAAGCCACCTTTGACCATCTCTCATTGTCCTCTCTGCATGGTCTCAGCTCCTCCTTGAGCTTCTCCATCCTCCTTCCCCTGCAAGACACCTCCATGTATTTTCTACCACCTCTCGGTGTCCTTGGCACCGGGTGCCCTCGCAGGATGTTGTCATCCTCCTTTGCATGCAAGTGACCTTCCTCCATCCTGCACTGTGTTTTGGTGTCTTTGGTCAAAGCCACCTTCCTCCATCCGGCATCATCGTCTCTTGATGGCCTCAGCACCTTCATCTCCCTTCGTATCCAATCGACCTCCTTCCATCTTGAATCATCATCTCTTGATGGTCTCAGCACCAGGGTATCCTCTTGGAGCATCTTCAACCTCTTCCGTGTTTAAACCACCTCCGTCCACCTCCCATCATCTCCTGGTGTCCTCCTGGAGCATCTCCATGGTGATGCAAACCACCTTCCTTCACATCCCATCATCATCTCTTGACGTCCTCAGCACCAGGCCTCCTCCTTCAGCATCTCCAACCTCCTCCATGCTCAAGCCATCTCCATCCACCTCCCATCATCTCCTGACGTCCTCCTGGGGCACCTCCGTGCTCCTTCACATCCCGCCACAGACACTGCCACTTGCCTGTGCCCTCTCTTTGCCCCATCACCGCTGCCCATCGGCACGTCCTACCAATGGGCTCCTGCCACCACCTCTGGCACCCAATGGGACACTTCTTGTCCCACCATGAGCCTCAGCATGGCTCTGGCCTCATGGACCATCCCTGCTCCATTCATGGCACCAGCTCTCACCACAGGCTCAGAGCAGGGCTGGACCATGACGCCGTTGACCCGGCTTTTTCTCTTCTACCCACAGCCGACATCGCCCGCAGCATGGGGGCCAAGACCGTGGTGGCCATCGATGTGGGCAGCCAGGATGAGACGGACCTGTGCAACTATGGGGACACTTTGTCGGGCTGGTGGCTCCTCTGGAAGCGCCTCAACCCCTGGGCTGAGAAGGTCAAGGTGAGGATGGGTGGAAGGGTCAAGGTGAGGATGGGTGGAAGGGTCAAGGTGAGGATGGGTGGAAGGGTCAAGGTGAAGATGGGTGGAAGGGTCAAGGTGAAGATGGGTGGAAGGGTCAAGGTGAGGATGGGTGGAAGGGTCAAGGTGAGGATGGGTGGAAGGGTCAAGGTGAGGATGGGTGGAAGGGTCAAGGTGAAGATGGGTGGAAGGGTCAAGGTGAAGATGGGTGGAAGGGTCAAGGTGAGGATGGGTGGAAGGGTCAAGGTGAGGATGGGTAGAAGGGTCAAGGTGGGGTTGGGTGGAAGGGTCAAGGTGAGGTTGGGTGGAAGGGTCAAGGTGAGGTTGGGTGGAAGGGTCAAGGTGAGGTTGGGTGGAAGGGTCAAGGTGAGGATGGGTGGAAGGGTCAAGGTGAGGTTGGGTGGAAGGGTCAAGGTGAGGATGGGTAGAAGGGTCAAGGTGGGGTTGGATGGAAGGGTCAAGGTGAGGATGGGTGGAAGGGTCAAGGTGAGGATGGGTGGAAGGGTCAAGGTGAGCATGGGTGGAAGGGTCAAGGTGAGCATGGGTGGAAGGGTCAAGGTGAGGATGGGTGGAAGGGTCAAGGTGACGATGGGTGGAAGGGTCAAGGTGACGATGGGTGCAAGGGTCAAGGTGATTATGGGTGGAAGGGTCAAGATGAGGCCCAGGGGATGCTGGTGAGATGGTGCTGAGCTCCTCAGCCTTGCAGGTGCCCGACATGGCTGAGATCCAGTCCCGCCTGGCCTACGTGTCCTGCGTGCGGCAGCTCGAGGTGGTCAAGTCCAGCTCCTACTGCCAGTACATCCGGCCCCCCATTGACAGCTTCAAGACCATGGACTTCGGCAAGTTCGATGAGATCTATGTGAGTTGGGGGGGAAGAAGATCACTGGGGTGCCCTGAACCAGCTTCAGGCCATCAATGGGTTCTCCAAGCCATGGGCTGGGGTTCTTCAGCCATCAGCTGTGTGCCCTGGGCCATCAGTTTGGTGCCTGGGCAGTCAGTTGGGTGTCCTGGGCCATGAGTTGAGTGTCCTGGCCCAACATTTGGGTGTGCTGGACCATCAATTGTGTGTCCTGGGCCATCAGCTGGGTGCCCTGGGCAATCAATTGGGTGCCTGGACTATCAGTTGGGTGTCCTTGGCCATCATTTGGGTGCCTGGACCATCATCTGTGTGTCCTGGGCCATCAGTTGAGTGTCCTTGGCCATCAGCTGGGTGTCCTTGGCCATCAGTTGGGTGTCCTGGGCCTTCATTTGGGTGTCTGGGCCATCAGTTGAGTGTCCTTGCCCATCAGTTGGGTGTCATTGGCCCTCAGTTGGGTGCCTGGACCATCATTTGGGTGTCTTTGGCCATCAGTTGGGTGCCCTGGGCAATCAGTTGGGTGCCTGGACCATCATTTGGGTGCCTGGACCATCAGTTGGGTGTCTTTGGCCACCAGCTGAGTGTCCCTTGCCACCAGCTGAGTGTCCTTGGCCATCAGTTGGGTGTCCTTGTCCACCAGTTGGATGTCTTTGGCCACCAGTTGGGTGCCCTGGGCCACCAGTTGGGTGTCCTTGCCCATCAGTTGGGTGCCTGGGCTGTCCTTTGGCGTTCTCCAGCTGCTTTGGCCACCCCCTTTTCCCCCAGGAAGTTGGGTACCACCATGGCAAGATGGTCTTCGACCACTGGAGCCAGGACGACATCATTGAGAAGATGGTGAAGGACCGGCGATGGGCCGACTTCTGCGACACCGAGCGCGTGGACGTGAGCATGGGGGGACACCAGCTCCTGGGGGGTGGTGGCACCTTGGCTTTAAGGGGTTTCCCTTCTCCTGGTCCCTCCCCAGCATCTTCCTCTCCCCTTGGTCCATCTCAGCTCCCCTCAGCATCCCGGTCCCCTTGTGGTCCATCCCCATCACCATCCCCATCATCCTTGTGTCCTCTTCCTGTCACCTTCTCCCCCGCTCCCATGTCCCTCCCTTCTCCACCCTCACACATGGGGGTGCTCTTTGGGGTCCCTTTGTCCCCCCCTAGGTGCTCAAGACTCACTTCATTGACCTGGCCGAGATGGTGTCCCGCATCGAGCCAGCGCAGCCCTGCGCCGAAGGTGAGCCGGGAATGGGGCTCCCCATCCTGATCCCAATCTCGATCCCAATCCTAATCCCAATTCCAGTCCTCATCCCGATCCCAATGCTAATCCTGGTCCCAATCCTGACCCCAATCCTAATCCCAATTCCAGTCCTCATCCCAATCCCGATCCCAATCCTAATCCTGATCCTGATCCCAGGCCCGACCCTGATTCCAATCCTGATCCAGATCCCAGTCCTGATCCCAATGCCTATCCCAATCCTGATCCTGATCCAGTCTCAAACCCGATCCCAGGCCTGATCCCAATGCCTATCCCAACCCTGATCCCGATCCCAATCCTGATCCTGATCCCAATCCTGATCCCAGTCCCGACCCCAATCCCAATCCTGGTCCCAGTCCTGACCCCGATCCCAATCCTGATCCTGATCCCAATGCCTCTCCCAACCCTGATCCCAATCCTGATCCTGATCCCAATGCCTCTCCCAACCCTGATCCCAATCCTGATCCTGATCCCAGTCCCAACCCCAATCCCAATCCTGATCCCAATCCTGATCCTGATCCCAGTCCCGATTCCGATCCTGATCCTGATCCCAATCCTGATCCTGATCCTAATCCCGATCCTGATCTCAGTCCTGATCCTGAACCCAGTCCCGATTCCGATCCTGATCCCAAACCTGATCCTGATCCTAATCCCGATCCTGATCTCAGTCCTGATCCTGAACCCAGTCCCAGCCCCAGTCCCAATCCTGACCCCAATCCCGTCCCCAGTCCCAATCCCGTCCCCAGTCCCAATCCCGTCCCCAATCCCAATCCCGTCCCCGATCCCAATCCCATCCCCGATTCCAAGCCTCTCCTTGTGCCCCCCCAGAGGAATCCGATGACGTCACGGACTACGAGGACGAGGAACTGGACCCCCCCCGGGATGAGCAGGATGCGGCCGCCCCTTCGGAACGGGCCAGCACCGGCGCTGCGGGGGCTGTGAGTGCCATGGAAGGGGGGGGGGGGGGCTCAGAATGGGGTGCTCCTGGGGTCGGGGGCCCTAAGGGTGCCCTGAGCCTGTGCGTGGTCCCAAATGGACCCACAGGTGCTGCAGTATCCTCATCGCGTGCCCCCATCCCATGTCCTCCTCCTGTGTCCCCATCGCATGCCCCCATCCCATGTCCTCCTCCTGTGTCCCCATCCCATATCCCCATTCCATATTTCCATCCCGTGTCCCCATCCCATGTCCCCATCCCATGTCCCCATCCCATATCCCCATCCCATATTCCCATCCCGTATCCCCATCCCGTATCCCCATGCCGTGTCCCCATGCCGTATACCCATCCTGTATCCCCATCCCACGTCCCCGTGTCCCCATCCCATGTCCCCATCCCGTGTCCCCATCCCATATCCCCATCCTGTGTCCCCATCCCGTATCCCCATCCCACGTCCCCGTGTCCCCATCCCATATCCCCATCCCGTATCCCCATCCCACGTCCCTGTGTCCCCATCCCATATCCCCATCCCGTGTCCCCATCCCGTGTCCCCATCCCATGTCCCCATCCCATATCCCCATCCCGTGTCCCCATCCCGTTATCTCCATCTCATATCCCCATCCCATGTCCCCATCCCACATCCCCATCCCACATCCCCATCCCATACCCTGTCTATTCCCAGAAGGAGGAGGAGAATTCCCTTCGGCACCGCTCGAGCCAGCCCCAGGACCCCTCCGCACCCCAGATGTGACCCCAAAGCGCCCCGGAGCCGCCACTACCTCCCCCTGCGGGGGCCTCCCTCTTCCCATTGCCCCTTCCCACTCATCCCGGTTCATCCCGAAGCAGGGAAAGGGGGCACGGGGGGGCTCCGGGATCCCCTTTTCCCTCTCTCCTGCACTGTTGCACTGGGCCAAGCCCCTCTCCATGGTCCTGATCCTTTGGTTTTTTTACTCCCTGTTGTTTTAGCACCAAAAGCAGTTGGAAAGTTGCGTTTTTAATCGATTCTTGAGGTTCTTCATTAAAAGGAAGCCGTTGGGGCTCAACCTGTGGCTCGGGATTGGGATCCGAGGGGGACTGCATTGGGATGCAATGGGGCTTGAGTTTGGGATAGAGGGGGGCTCAGCCCATGGCTCACGTCATCCAGTAGGGCTTGGATTGGGATCTGATGAGGCTTGGGTTTGGGATCCAGTGGGGATCAGGATGGGGATCCAATGGGGCTTGGTTTGGGATGCAATGGAGCTCAGCCCATGGCTCACATCATCCAATGGGGCTTGGGATCCAATGGGGATCAGGATGGGGATCCAATGGGGCTTGGTTTGGGATGCAATGGAGCTCAGCCCATGGCTCACATCATCCAATGGGGCTTGGGATCCAATGGGGATCAGGATGGGGATCCAATGGGGCTTGGTTTGGGATGCAATGGAGCTCAGCCCATGGCTCACATCACCCAATGGGGGCTTGGGATCCAATAGGGATCAGGATGGGGATCCAATGGGGCTTGGTTTGGGATGCAATGGAGCTCAGCCCATGGCTCACATCATCCAATGGGGCTTGGGATCCAATGGGGATCCGGATGGGGAGCCAGTAGAGCTTGGATTGGTATCCAATGGAGATCAGGATTGGGATCCAGGGGGGCTTGGATTGGTATCCAATGGAACTCAGGATTGGGATCCAATGGGGATCAGGATGGGGATCCAGTAGGGCTTGGGATCCAGTGGGGATCAGGATGGGGATCCAGTGGGGCTTGGTTTATGATGCACTGGGGCTCAGCCCATGGCTCACATTATCCAATAGGGCTTGGACGCGATGGGGACTGGGATCCAGTGGGGATTGGGATCCAATGGGACTTGGGACTGGGATCCAGTGGGGCTTGGACTGGAGCCAGTGGTTCTTTTCTGCACTGATGCTCTGGATGAGGGGATGGAGGGCACCCAAGTGACACCAGGTTGGGTGGGAGTGGGGAGCTACACCACCACGGGGCACCCAGCACCACCATGGGGCACCCAGCACCACCACGGGGCACCCAGCACCACCATGGACACCCAGCACCACCAGGGGGCACCCAGCACCACCACGGGACGCCCAGCACCACCACGGGGCGCCCAGCACCACCACGGGGCGCCCAGCACCACCACGGGACACCCAGCACCACCAGGGGGCACCCAGCACCACCAGGGGGCACCCAGCACCACCATGGACACCCAGCACCACCATGGACACCCAGCACCACCATGGACACCCAGCACCACCAGGGGGCACCCAGCACCAGCACGAACACCCAGCACCAGCATGAACACCCAGCACCACCATGGGACACCCAGCACCACCATGGGACACCCAGCACCACCGTGGACGCCCAGCACCACCACAAACACCCAGCACCACCATGGGGCACCAATTGTTCCCCCCCCCGGCAGCACACCCGACCTCACACCCATCACCGGATGCAGTGAGCTGGGTGCTGGTGGGTGCTGATAGCACCCAGCTCTTCCTGCATGGGCAGGAATGGCATCGAGAAACCCTGTGACAGGGACACCCTGGGGACAGGGACACTGGGCTATGCTATGGGGACACCATGGGGACAGGGACACCATGGGCTATGCTATGGGGACACCATGGGGACAGGGACACCATGGGCTATGCTATGGGGACACCATGGGGACAGGGACACCATGGGCTATGCTATGGGGACACCATGGGGACAGGGACACCATGGGCTATGCTATGGGGACACCATGGGGACAGGGACACCATGGGCTATGCTATGGGGACACCCTGGGGACGGGGACACCCTGGGGACAGGGACACCATGGGCTATGCTATGGGGACACCATGGGGACAGGGACACCATGGGCTATGCTATGGGGACAGGGACACCATGGGCTATGCTATGGGGACACCATGGGGACAGGGACACCATGGGCTATGCTATGGGGACACCATGGGGACAGGGACACCCTGGCCAATGCCATGGGTGCATCCTGATTACGGGGACACTGGGGGCCTCACCAGCACCCATGGTGCTGACCCAAGCTTTCGGGTGCTGGGGGGCCCCTTTGAGGCCCATCCTTGGGGTGAGGGCACATCCGGACACACCCCACACCCCCCAGCACCACTTCCCACAGGGTTTATCAGTGGGGACACTCACTGGGGACACCACAGGGACCATGTATGGCAACGTGGAGCCCAGCCAGGGGCAAAAGTGGGTGCCAGGACCCGGTCATGGGGAAGGTAGGGAGCACCCTTGGGTGCTGGGTGGGTTGGGGTGGGGGGCAGGTGGGAGCCCAGCAGCCTCATTGTCCTTAATGGACATCCCAATGTCCTTTTGGGGTCTCACTTTGTCCCCTTGAGGGGGGTGGTGGCACCAAAGCAAGGTCCCCATCTCCATCCCTGGTACCCAACGGGTGTCCTTGGGGCACCCAAAGAGGGATCCTCAAGAGGGGTCCCCAGGAGGGGTGGTGGCAAAAAAGGGGACACCCCCCCCCCCATTTCCACCCTTGGGGTGTCCCCATCTCCATACCTGGTGTCCAAGGAGGCTGTCCATGATGGGGGGGGGCGGGGTGTTGGTGGCCCCCAGTGTCCAAGGAGGTGAATGGTGGCACCGATGGAGACCCCAAATCCCACCCTTGGAGCATCCTCATACTCCAGGGGATGCTGGTGGCACTGGTTAGGGGATGACCCCCCAGCTGCCCCACAGCACCTTGTGCCCCACAGAGGAGAACCCCTACGAACCCCTGGACCCCCCTGAGGTCACCCCAAGCCAGAAGCATGTGCCAGAGGCAGCATGGACAAGGGCAGAGCCATCGTCGCCTCATCCCCTATCCCCAGCTCCATCCAAGGGCTGCTCCAAAGGGAAGCTGGTGCTGGTGGCCACAGTGGCCCTGGGGGTCTCGGTGCTGATGAACATCCTCTTCCTCACCATCGGCTCACGGCACAGTGAGTAGAGATGGTCCATGGGTATTGGGGAGCCCCATAGGAATCATGGAATGGGTTGGGTTGGAAGGGAGCTTAAGGTCAGGCTGCCATGGGCAAGGACACCACTCCATCCTGGCCTTGGACACTGCAAGGGATGGGGCATCCAATCCTGCTCCCACCACCCTCATGGGGAAGAACTTCCTATTATTGGGAATGGCTATGATTGGGGTCTCTGGAGGGGTGCTGGGTGCTCAGCACCCCTCCACACCAGGCCTGCTGTGGCCGTGGCCACAGGGTGACCATGTCCCTGTGTCCCCATCAGTTGCAGCTCTGACGGCGGAGCTGGAGGCAGCGAAGGCGAAGGCGATGCCCAATGTGGGTGCGTGTCCATGGCATGTGTGTCCCCCCCTTGCCCTCCTTCTCCATGGATGCATGCTCAATCCCTGTGTATCATGGATTCATGGAATGGTTTGGGTTGGAAAAGACCTTAAGATCATCCAGTTCCAACCTGGCAGGGACACCTTCCACTAGAGCAGCTTGCTCCAAGCCCTGTGTCCAACCTAGCCTTGAACAGGGATGGGGCATCCAAACCTTCTCCATCCAACCCATCCCAGTGTCCCACCACCCTCATGGGGAAGAACTTCCTTATCTCCAAGCTGAACTTCCCTGTTCCACTTGGAACCCATCACACCTTGTCCTACCCCTGATGAAGCTCCCTCTCCACATCCTTGGAGTCCCCTTCAAACCCATGCAGCTCCTCCAGCCCCAGTGTCCTCAGCCTGGCTCCATGTGGGATCCTCCTCTGCCCTTGCTCCTTGAGGACACCGGAGCCGGATGCAGAATCCCAGTGGGATCCCCCCACCCCCCAAGCAAAGGGGCAGGATCCATTCCTTGGACCCCCTCTTACCTTCCCAGCCTCCCGTTCCTTCCTGCTCTACAACGAAAACCACCGCAAGTGCATCGAGGCCGACGGGCACCAGTTGACAGCGACCACGTGCCGGCCCGCTGCCGCTTCCCAACGCTTCCAATGGCTCCAAGGGGGCCGGCTGTGGGGCTGGCAGAGCCAGCGCTGCGTCACGGCCACTCAGGACCAAAGCCTGGCCTTGGTGAGGCTGGAGCCGTGCCGGGATGAGGATAAGCTGCAGCGTTGGGAATGCCGGGATGGAGGGTTGTTGGCGCTGGCCGGATATGAGCTCTACTTCAACTTTGGCAACAACCAGCAGCGCGCGGTGACGCTCTACACCGGGGATGGGCCGTGGAGCCGCTGGGTGGTCCATGGGAGCAAGGAGGACGTCTGCTCCCGCTCCTGTAGGTCCCAGCATCCTTCATCCCAAGGATAACCCTAAACCGGCAGGGATATGGTTTAAGAGATGAACTCCAGCTGCAGCAGGGCGCTGGACCGGAGCTGACCCTTCTAGGGTGGCCTAACCTAATCTAAACCAAGGCCAAACCCTAATGGGGGTTTTAACCTAATCCTAACTTGGTTATAACCCAAAATAGATAGGATTTAACCTAATTCTAACCCAGTTTAAACCCTAAATAGGATTTAACCCAATCCTAACCCAATTTAAACCCTAAATAGGATTAACCTAATCCTAAACCAGATAGAACCCTAAATAGATGGGATTTAACCTAATCCTAACCCAGTTAGAACCCTAAAGAGATAGGATTTAACCTAATTCTAACCCAATTTAAACCCTAAATAGGATTAACCTAATCCTAACCCTGTTAGAACCCTAAATAGACAGGATTTAACCTAATACTAACCCACCTAGAACCCTAAAGAGGTAAGATTTAACCTAATCTTAACCCAGTTAGAACCCTAAACAGGATTTAATCTAATCCTAACCCAGTTAGAACCCTAAATAGACAGGATTTAACCTAATACTAACCCAGCTAGAACCCTAAAAAGGTAAGATTTAACCTAATCTTAACCCAGCTAGAACCCTAAATAGGATTTAACCTAATCCTAACCCAGTTAGAACCCTAGATAGGATTTAACCTAATCCTAACCCACTTTAAACCCTAAATAGATAGGATTTAACCTAATCCTAACGCAGTTAGAGCCCAAATAGGATTTAACCTAATCCTAACCCACTTTAAACCCTAAATAGATAGGATTTAACCTAATCCTAACCCAGTTAGAACCCCAAATAGGATTTAACCTAATCCTAACCCACTTTAAACCCTAAATAGATAGGATTTAACCTAATCCTAACCCAGTTAGAACCCCAAATAGGATTTAACCTAATCCTAACCCACTTTAAACCCTAAATAGATAGGATTTAACCTCATCCTAACCCACTTTAAACCCTCATGGGACCCCAAGCCAGTCCTAAACCTTAATCTATAGGATTTAACCCAAAGCCCAGCAGGGCTCTAACCCAGCTCAGGGTTGTGTCCCTGGCCAGGGCTGCGTTCTGGGCTCTTGCAGCGCCCTTTGAGGGGGGGTGACCCCACTTTTCTGTGCCCCCCGCTCCCCCCTTCCTGCAGGCTGTCCCCCTTGCTCCAAAGGCTGGCTCCACTTCCGGAATTCCTGCTATTTGTACTCCAAGACAGCCGCTTCCTGGGAGAACGCCCGGCGCTTCTGCTCGCTCCTGGGGGCTCAGCTCCTGGAGGTGGATGGGCCTGAGGAGAAGGTGAGGGGCACAGCCAGGAAGGGGGGGATTGGGAAGGGGCAGGGAAGCCTCAGGTGAAGCCCTACAATGAACCCTATGATGGGTTTGGGGTGATCTCACCATAAGCTCTACCTAAACTTTCCACCCTAGGGCCTACAATTAAGCCCAACCTCGTTCCTAATGGAGCCATTGCCCTAGAACTGACCCAAATCCAGCTGAAACCTCTTCCTAATCCATCCCTAACCCTAAATCCCTAAACCTAAGACTAATCCTAATCATAAACCTAAACCTACCCCTAAGCCTGACCTTAACCCTGTCCCCAATCACAACCCCAACCTCATTATCCAGAACTGTAATCCTGTCCTAAACCTAACTCTACCTGTACTCATAGGATTTGACCTAACCCTAAGCTAGCCCAAACCCCAACAGGGCCTTACCCCAGCCCCAACCCTGCCTATATAGGATTTAAGACAACCCTAAACTAGTCCATACCTGAATGAGGATCTAGCCTAGCCCTAACCCCAAATACATAGGATTTAAGACACCCCTAAGGTAGTCCAGAACCAAAAGATGCTCTAACTCAGCCTTAACCCCAAATACATAGGACTTAAGACAACCCTGAGCTAGTCCAGACACCAGTGAGGCTCTAGCCTAGCCCTAATCCCTAATACACAGGATTTAAGATAACCTTAAGATCTTCCAGACCCCAATGAGGCTCTAGCCCAGCCCTAACCCTGCCTCTATAGGACTTAAGACAACCCTGAGCTAGTCTAGAAACAAAAGAGGCTCTAACTCAGCCCTAACCCCAAATACACAGGACTTAAGATAACATTAAGATCCTCCAGACACCAATGAGGCCCTAGCCTAGCCCTAATCCCAAATACACAGGACTTAAGGTAACCCTAAGATCCTTCAAACCCCAATGAGGCTCTAGCCCAGCCCTAACCCTGCCTATATAGGACTTAAGACAACTCTAAACTAGTCCAGACCCCAATGAGGCTCTAGCCTAGGCCTAACCCCAAAGTCCCATAGGATTTAAACTAATCCAAAGATCCTCCATGAGGCTCTAACCCTAAAGACATAGGACTTAAGACAACCCTAAGATCCTTCAGACCCCAATGAGGCTCTAACTCAGCCCTAACCCTAAATATATAGGACTTAAGCTAACCCTAAGATCCTCCATGAGGTTCTAACTCAGCCCTAGCCCTGATTATATAGGACTTAAACCAGTCCTAGGATAGCCTAGACCCCAATGAGACCCCCCCACCGCAGGGCAGAGGCTGTGCCAGTGCTGAGGGCTGTTATGGCATCAGGTCCTACCCGGTGTCCCCCTGCTGTCCCCAAGGGCTTTTGGGGGGGCTGTGCCATGGGGTGACGCCGCCTTTGCCCCTAGGATCACATCCGGACCATGCTGCAAAGCTCCTCCTGGCTCGGTATCCGGGATGAAGAGGTGGAAGGGGCCTGGAAGCGAGCCAATGGGTCCATCTTATCCTGGGAAAGCAGGTAGAACCCTATGGGTGCTGGGAACAAGGGGATGGGGGTTTGGGGGGGGCGGGGGGGCAGGGACACCCCTAAAATGCCCTGATCCCTTTTGTCACAGCTCTTGGCACAGGAGCGAGCCCAATGGTGGGCGCCAGGAGAACTGTGCAGCAGTGAGGGAGGATGCTCTGTGGTACGATTACCCCTGCACCAGCCAGCTCCCATGGGTGTGTGAAGGGCAACCCTAAAGGGGGCACCCCAAAAACATCTGTCCCCCCCCCCCCACCCCCCCCACCCTCCAGCACCCCCTCGGTGATGAGGGGCTCCCATTGACACCCCTCTGCTTGCCACGTCCGACCTGCAGCGCTCCGGGTGCAGTCGCCGCCTGCCAGCGCATCCCTTTGGGATGCAGGGATGGATCTAGAGGGAAAAGGGGGGATCAGGGTGGGATTTGGGGGGCGGGGGGGGGGGGGCTGTCCCTGCGGAGCAATAAACACATGTGAAGAGTGAGGACCTGCTCTGGGCATGGGGGGCACCCATGGTGGGGGGTGAAGGGGGGGGTTGGGGGGCCCTTGGGGGTAGCACTGGGTGCTCATGATACCCCCCCAAATGCACCTCAGAGCTCCACAGATACCTCCCAGAGACCCCTAAATCCCCACCCCAGACCCCCAAATATCCCCTTGAGCACCCTAAAAACCCCCCAAATACCCCATTGAGCCCCCAAATGCCCCCCCCAGACCCCCAAATACTTCTTAGGTCCCCAAAACACGCCATTGAGCACTCTACCCCTCCCCCAGATTCCTAAATACTCCCCAGCTCCCCAAAATACCCTTAAATTCCCCCCAAAGACGCCTAAATCCCCTCCCACCCCCCAAATACCCCCCCCCATGTCCCCCCAAACACTCCATTGAGGCCCCTAAATCCCCCCCCAGGCACCACTTACCCCCCCCCACCCCCTCAAATACCCCCCTAAGCCCTCTAAATACCCCCCGGACCCCTAAATTCCCCTTAGGTCCCCCCAAACACCCCCTTGAACACCCTAAATACCCCCCAGACCCCAAATACCCACCCAGGCTCCCCCAAACACCCCACTGAGCCCTCTAAATATCCCACAGGTCCCCCCAAATACCCCTTTGAGCCCCCTAAATGCCCCCCTGCACCCCTAAATACCCCCCCAAATACCCCTTTGAGCCCCCTAAATCCCCCCCCGGACCCCCAAACACCCCTTAGGTCCCCTCAAATTGAGCCCCCTACCCCCCCTCCCCAGACACCATTTACCCCCCCTCCAACCTCCCCAAATACCCCCTTGAGCCCCATAAATGCCTCCCAGACCCCCAAATACCTCCCCCCCCATGTTCCCCCAAACACTCCATTGAGCCCCCTAAATCTCCCCCAGGCACCATTTACTCCCCCGACCCCCCCAAATACCCCCTTAAGTCCCCTAAATACCCCCCAGACCCCAAACAGCCCCCCCAGGCTCCCCCAAACACCCCACTGAGCCCTCTAAATATCCCACAGGTCCCCCCAAATACCCCTTTGAGCCCCCTAAATGCCCCCCTGCACCCCTAAATACCCCCCCAAATACCCCTTTGAGCCCCCTAAATCCCCCCCCGGACCCCCAAACACCCCTTAGGTCCCCTCAAATTGAGCCCCCTACCCCCCCTCCCCAGACACCATTTACCCCCCCTCCAACCTCCCCAAATACCCCCTTGAGCCCCATAAATGCCTCCCAGACCCCCAAATACCTCCCCCCCCATGTTCCCCCAAACACTCCATTGAGCCCCCTAAATCTCCCCCAGGCACCATTTACTCCCCCGACCCCCCCAAATACCCCCTTAAGTCCCCTAAATACCCCCCAGACCCCAAACAGCCCCCCCAGGCTCCCCCAAACACCCTATTGAGCCCCCTAAATAGCTCACAGATCCCCGCAAATACCCCTTTGAGCCCCCAAAATCTCCCCCCTGGACCCCCAAATACCCATTAGGTCCCCTCAAATTGAGCCCCCTAAATCCCCCCCCAGGCACCATTTACCCCCCCCTCCCAATTACCCCCTTGAGCCCCATAAATGCCCCCCCAGACCCCCAAATACCCCCCAAGTCTCCCTAAATACCCCCTTGCACCCCCTAAACCCCCTCTTTTTACCCAAAATACCCCTTTAAACCCCCTAAATCCCCCCAAATACCCATTTGAATCCCCTAACGCCCCCCTAGACCCCCAAATACCCCTTAGGTCCCCTCAAATTGAGCCCCCTAAATCCCCCCCCAGGCACCCTTTACCCTCCCTTCCCAATTACCCCTTTGAGCCCCATAAATGCCCCCCCAGACCCCCAAATACCCCCCAAGTCTCCCTAAATACCCCCTTGCACCCCCTAAAACCCCTCTTTTTCCCCCTAAACCCCCTCTTTTTACCCAAAATACCCCTTTAAACCCCCTAAATCCCCCCAAATACCCATTTGAACCCCCTAACGCCCCCCTAGACCCCAAATACCCCTTAGGTCCCCTCAAATTGAGCCCTCTAAATCCCCCCCCAAGCACCATTTACCCCCCCTTCCCAATTACCCCTTTGAGCCCCATAAATGCCCCCCACGCCCCCAAATACCCCCCAAGTCTCCCTAAATACCCCCTTAAACCCCTCTTTTTACCCCTAAACCCCTTTTTTTACCCAAAATACCCCTTTAAACCCCCTAAATCCCCCCCCCCCCCCCATATCCCCTCACCTCAGGCCGCGAGCCAGGCCCCAGCCGCTCCCGTGTGCATCGGGGGGGGGTCCCCTGATGTCAATGGGGTTCTATGGGGGGGGTTCTATGGGGGGGGGTGTCTATGGGGGGGGTTTCTATGGGGTTCTATGGCGGGGGGGGTCTCCCCGGTTCCGGACTACAGCTCCCGGCAGCGCCCCGGGACCGCAGCAGGGCCGGGATCATGGCGGAGCCGGCGCTGAGGGCCCCGGCGCGCTGAGGGGAACGGGCGGGCCCAAGGGGTCCGGGACCGGTTCAAAGGGGTCCGGGACCGGTTCAAAGGGATCCGGGGAAGGGTTAAAGGGGTCCGGGGAAGGGTTAAAGGGGTCCGGAGCTGGGGGTTGAAGGGGAGCCGGGCAGGGCGATGGCGGAGCCGCTGCTGAGGAGAACGTTCTCCCGCCTGAGGGGCCGCGACCGGCCCAGAGGGAAGAAACCGGACGGGAAGGAGCGAGGTAGGGGCAGAACGGACGGGGACCCCCCCGGTAGCACCATGGGGGGGGGGAGTCGGCACCCCAAAGGAACGGGGGACCCCCCCCTCCCCCCAGCACCTTTGGGTCCTTTCTGCATCCCAAGGGGAAAGGGAAACCCCCCCCCCCATCACTTTGGGGTCCCTTCTGCAGCCCACATAAAGGGACCCCTTATAGGAAGGGACCCCCGTTACTTTGGGGTCCCTTCTGCACCCAAAGAGGAACAGGGACCCCCCTAAGGAAGGCCCCCCCCATCACTTTGGGGTCCCTTCTACATCCCAAGGGGAAAGGGACACCCCTAAGGAAGGGACCCCCCCCAGCATCACTTTGGGGTCCCTTCTGCCCCCCACATAAAGGGACCCCTCTATGGAAGGGACCCCCCCAGCATCACTTTGGGGTCCCTTCTGCATCCCAAGGGGAAAGGGACACCCCTAAGGAAGGGACCCCCCCCAGCATCACTTTGGGGTCCCTTCTGCCCCCCACATAAAGGGACCCCTCTATGGAAGGGACCCCCCCAGCATCACTTTGGGGTCCCTTCTGCATCCCAAGGGGAAAGGGACACCCCTAAGGAAGGGACCCCCCCCCTTCACTTTGGGGTCCCTTCTGCAGCCCACATAAAGGGACCCCTTATAGGAAGGGACCCCCGTTACTTTGGGGTCCCTTCTGCACCCAAAGAGGAACAGGGACCCCCCCAGCATCACTTTGGGGTCCCTTCTGCACCCCACTTAAAGGGACCACCCTAAGGAAGGGACCCCCCCCAGCATCACTTTGGGGTCCCTTCTGCACCCCACATAAAGGGTCGCCCCCTATAGGAAGAGGCCCCCCCCATCACTCTGGGGTCCCGTCTGCACCCCACATAAAGGGATCCCCCCTAAGGAAGGGACCCCCCCCAGCATCACTTTGGGGTCCCTTCTGCACCCAAAGAGGAACAGGGACCCCTTTAAGGAAGGGACCCCCCCCATCACTTTGGGGTTCCTTCTGCACCCCACATAAAGGGTCGCCCCCTATAAGAAGGGACCCCCCCAGCATCACTTTCGGGTTCCATCTGCATCCCAAAAGGAAGGAGGAGCCCCTAAGGAAGGGACCCTCCCAGCATCACTTTGGGGTCTTTTCTGTACCCCACATAAAGAGATGCCCCCTATAGGAAGGGACCCCCATTACTTTAGTGTCCCTTCTGCATCCCAAGAGGAAGGGGGAGCCCCCTAAGGAAGGGTCCCCCCCTAAAGAAGGGACTCCATAACTTTGGGGTCCCTTCTGCACCCCAAGAGAAACAGGGACCCCCTAAAGAAAAGGAAAGGACCCCCCCTCACTTTGGGGTCCCGTCGGCAACCCAAAAGGAAAAGGGAGCCCCTAAGGAGGGGAGCCCCCCCAGTGAAGGGACCCCCCCCCCCCGAGCATCACTTTGGGGTCCCTTCTGCACCCCCCATAAAGGGGCGTCCCCTATAGGAAAGGACCCCCATTACTTTGGGGTCCCTTCTGCATCCCAAAAGGAAGGAGGAGCCCCTAAGGAAGGGACCCTCCCTATCACTTTGGGGTCCCTTCTGCACCCCACATAAAGGGATCCCCTATAGAAAGGGACCCCCATTACTTTGGGGTCCCTTCTGCACCCCACATAAAGGAATCCCCTATAGGAAGGGACCCCCATCCCTTTGGGTTCCCTTCTGCACCCCACATAAAGAGACCCCACTAAGAAAGGGTGCACAGGGTGCAGGGCTGCATCCCAATCCTATTGGGTACAGAGGGGTTGGGGCTGTGCCCTCCCCACCTCATTCCCTGCCAGAGCAATGGGAATGTCTCGGATCCGGCCAGCAGTAAACATCCGGACTTCCAGAAGTTTGGATCCGCTGCCTGTTCCCATGCTGGGATTGGGATGAGACTTGAGGGAGCTGGGATGGGATGCTCAGGATGGGGCTGGGGACAAGAGAGAGCTCCTGGTGTGGTGGCAGTGGGATTTTGGGATCCCATCCCACCTTTTCCCCCTTCCTCCCACAGAGCATCCCGCTCCCAGCCCTGATTCCCCGCCGGATCCCGAAGTAGCATCCACGGATCCGGTGCCGGCCGCATCCCGGCGGCAGAA